TCAGTGGTTCATATAGTGAACTCAGTGTAGAGTTATTCACCCTGAGGTCATCACAGAGGACAAGGGGGCACTCTTTACATCTGGAGGAAAAGAAATTTAATCTCCAAACATGGAAAGGTTTCTTCACACTGAGAGCTGTGCAAATGTGGAATAGACTCCCTCAAGAGTTGGTTCTGGCCAGCTCAGTGGATTGCTTTAAAAAAGGCCTGGATTCTTTCTTAGATACACAGAATATAACTGGATACTAACATTTATAGGTAAAGTTGATCCAGGGAATATCAGATTGCCTCTCGGGCGTCAGGAAGGAATTCTTTTTCCCTGCGGGAGCAAATTACATCATGCTTTACTGGGGATTTTTTGCCTTCCTCTGGATCAAATGTGGGTATAGGATTATAACTTTTTTTTTTTTTAATGGTTGAACTGGATAGCCTTTTGTCTTTTTTCAGCCAGACTATGTAACTATGTAACCACAGGCCTTATGTTTTGCAGTTGATGCCCTTAAGGATTCGATTCAGCAGATCTCTCGCATGGCCCTTCTGTCAGTACACATGGGCAGGATCTTGTGGTTAAAGAGTTGGGCGGCAGAACTACAGTGCAAAAGATTGTTGGTGGATTTTCCCCTTCATGGAGAATGTATGTTTGGGAAAGTCCTAGACAAGTATATCCAGAAGATCTCAGGGGGAAAAAGTATGCTTTTACCCTTTAAGAGAAAGGTCAAACACCCAACCGTTAAGGGGCCAGGCACTTCGGTGGTTGATGCTTCTTCCGTTAGGCAAGCATTTCACCGTACAGAGTCTGGAGTATTTGGGATTGGTCCTAGACACTGTTCAGGCAAAGGTGTTTCTGCAGGCAAAGGTGTTTCTGCCTCCAGGAAAGGGCCGTGCCCTGAGAGATTAGATTCAGAGTTTGAGGAGCAGGAAGTATCCTTCCATTCGTCTCTGCATGAGGTTAATGGGGAAGATGGTATCCTCATTCAAGGCAGTGCCCTATGCGCCGTTACACTCAAGGCCTTTGCAGGAATATTCCATCAGCATGGAACAAAAAGATTCCAGTGCTGGATTACTGCATGTCTTTGTCCCCCCGGGTGCTGCAAAGCTTGACTTGGTGGTTGGAAGCTCAGAATTTCGAAAAGGGTAGATCTTTCCCATGAGTGATTTGGAACTGATGCGAGCCTCTCGGATTGGGGGCTGTTCTAGAAGGGTCCACAGTCTGGGGGATGTAGTAACCGCAGGAAAACATCCTTCCCATCAATGTCCTGCAGCTTTGGGCAGGGCAGCTTGCCCTGAGATATTGGATGACCAGACCAGGCTTCATGGTTGGCCAATCAGGGTTCATTCCGACAATGCTACAGCAGTGGAATACATCAACCACCAAGGCGGTACCAAAGAGCCGGAGGGCTCAAGAGGAGGTAGATCACATCTGGATTGGACAGAAAGGCATGTTCCAGTTCTGTCAGCAGTATTTATTCCAGGGATAGAGAATTGGCAGGCGGACTACCTCATTTGTCGGAGGCTGTTTCCAGGGGAATGGGCTCTGCATCCCGAGGTGTTCTCGACAATCTGCAAGCATTGGGGGTACCCGAATGTAGATATATTGGCATCCAGGCTCAACAGCAAGGTGGACAGGTTTGTGTCCAGGATGCGGGACCCTCTTGCGATAGGGGTAGATGCCTTGGTGATACCGTGGGATCAGCTTTCCCTAATCTATGCCTTTCCCCTGATTCAGCTACTACCGCAGCTATTAGGCAGGATTCAAGACAAGGTGATTCCGGTGATATTAGTGGCACCAACCTGGCCCAGGAGGTCTTGATATGCGGACACTGTCTGGCTAGCAGTGGGCGATCCATGGCCTCTGTCAGATCGGCCAGACCTGCTGCGGGATTTTTAGGGTGCCATACAATAATAGAGCAACAACAAAAGCTAAAATTATTGGTTGTACTCATTTCCCCCTTTTCTTTTCTCGTTATTTTGTTCAAATTTGGGATGTGGTGCCATTCAGCTCCTCTCTGAACATTACTACTCTTATCCACAAAATGTTGAATGCTAGGAAACTGGTTTCTAGGAACATTTATTATACAACTTGGAAGGCATATATTTCCTGGTGTAAGAATCAGAAATGGCACCTGCGAAAATATTTGGGAGAATTTGGTCTTTTCTCCAATCAGGAGTAGAAAAGAAGTTGGCTTTTGGTACTATTAAGGGTCAGCCTTGGCTGTTTTTTTCAAAAACCGATTGCTTCTCACTCTTTGATTCGTACTTTTTTTACAAAGAGTGATGCGTACTGTTCCTCCTGTCAGACAGCCCCTGTGTCCTTGGGACTTAAACTTGGCTGTTTTACAGAAACCACCATTTGAACCTATCAGGGAAATTCTGCTAGTTCTGCTAACTTGAAAGGTTCTGTTTTTGGTGGTAATCACCTCTGCAAGAAGAGCATCAGAGTTGGCAGCTCTTTTTTGTAGCAAACCATTTCTGGTTTTACATCAGGATAAGGTGGTGTTAAGGCTTCATCCGTTCTTTTTGCCAAAGGTGGTTTTTGGTTTTCATCTCAATCAGGACATTGTTCTGCCTTCATTCTTTCCTAAGCCTCAGTCAGCAACAGAAAGATCTTTGCATGCCCTGGATGTGGTTCGGGCAATAAGGGTCTTTTTGAGAATGACGGCACAGATTGAAAAGGCTGATTCCCTGTTTATTTTGCTTGAAGGACCCAGGAGAGGACAGGCAGCATCTAAATCAACTATTTCTAAGTGGATGTGTCAGTTAATTATTCAAGCCTATGGTTTGAAGAGCAAGGTTCCACCCTTTTGGGTGAAAGAACACTCTACCAGGAGTGTGGGGGCATCTTGGGTTATCCGCCACCAGGCGTCAGTTGCTCAGGTTTGCAAGGCTGTTACATAGTCTTCGTTTCATACATTAACAAGGTTTTACCAGGTGGACGTCAGAGCCATGGAGGATTCTGCCTTTGGCTGCAGTGTTTTACTTACAGCTGAATAGCTCCTTTCGGGATGTTGTCAGTGGTTATTGTGATGTCACCCACCCCTCAAGGTTATTGCTTAGGGACCTCCCACATTATTATGGCCTGCTCTGTGTCCCATGATGTACAATAAAGAAAATTGAATTTTTCTACATACTTACCTGTAAAATCCATTTCTCGGAGCACATCACAGGACATAGAGGTCCCTCCCCTCTTTCTGGATTTTCATTGTTTGTTAAAAAAAACTTCCTGTGTAGGAGGGGATATATGGGGAAGACTTCCTATTTGATTGGTCAGCCAGTGTCCATTCACCTATAGGTGGCATATAACCCACATAGTCATTATTATGGCCTGCTCTATGTCCCCTGATGTACTCCAAGAAACTTATTTTACAGGTATGTATGTATAAAAAATCCAATTATTCCTTGGTATATCATAACTGCTTGACTGCACAAGACTCTTTACTGATTGGGGAGTTTCCACATAATATAAACTTAGAGGCCATACAGGTTAGTTTTTTAGATCTAGGAAACCTCCCTTGTGGTTTGTTTATAGGAAAGACAAGAAAGCAATATTCCATAACTTTCTTTTTTAATAAGAATGAATATGGATGAGAAGCAGATAGTGGGCGTTGCCTACAAATACTTTTGAAATCCTCCAAATAGATTTGGTGTGCCAAGAGAGACTCTAATTCCAGGCACCACAAACACAGTTTTCCTGGGTTTTTTTTCAAGCATATCTCTTACAAGTTGTAAGACATTCTTAGGCTTACAGTTCCACAAGACAGGGATTTTCTTAAAAAAAACCCATGCTGTAGGGTAATATGGTTTACTGAATTAATCTCCTAAATACAACAACCAAAATATGTTGCTGTTATTAGTTCAACATTTTTAGTCAGTAGTATATTCCTCATAAATTTAGAGGAAAGAAGGGAGTAGAGTTTGCACCAAGATAATCCAAAGATGGCCCTGACACGCATTTTTTTAAGAACTCCTTTTATTGTAGAAAATATGGGTCATAGAAGACAAACTCCCCTGAAATGACATTTTTGTCTAAATGTAATTTAGCCTAATTTTAGTCTAGTTAAAGTGGTTGTAAAGGTAAAAGGTTTTTTTTTTTGTACCTTAAAGGAGTATGTAAGCACAGCACTTCATGTTACTGATATGTGCCTGCTGTACCATGTACTTGTATGAAAAAGTATCCTGTTCTCTTTGTACTACTTTCTTTGCGTAAAATCCCTGGTGTTCCTGCCAGTCCCTCTGCTTTCCTGTTAAAAACTGACCACACTAATTATGTTTACACAGCGTGGTCAGTTCTCTAGCTGTACTGGCAACTCATCCTGCTGTTTTCCATTGATTAGACTTGTGCTGACATCCCTTCCCCCTGCACAGCCAGCCTTTCACTGGGAAGATCATTGAAGATCGTTGTACTGCGGTTTCTCCTCCCCCAGCTCTCTTTTTTTAATCTGCATAGGGCGCTTAGAGGGTATGTGATCACTTATAAAACAGGGAAAAATGTATTTATAATTTTTTTTTATATCTATACACAGATATTTTGTCTTTCATTTCTGATCTCGAGCCTGATCTCGATACAGCGCTGTGGACTTCTGCAGCAGCCCTTCTCTCCTCTCCCCACTCCCACAGGCTTGGTTGAGAGCATCAGGAGTCACTGGCTCCTGCTGCTGTCAGTCAAAACCTGTATGCAGAGGGGGGCAGAAACAAGCCAGACTGTGTGCCTGAATAGATGCAAACAGTCCGACTCAGGACATGTAAACAGCGGCTTCCTATGGGGGCACTCGGTGGAGGAAAGGAGCCAGGAACACCAGCTTGTGACCCCAGAAGAGGAGGATCGGGGTCGCTTTTTGCAAAACCGCTGCACAGAGCAGGTAAATATAACATGTTTAATATTTTAATAAGAAAAAAAATAAAGCCTTACAATCACTTTAAATGACAGGAATAGAGAACTATTTCTCTAAACATATTGCACATTGCATTACAAAGCAAGACTGTTTGCTGTTAGTGTTTACTCACTTTAATCTTCTCAGCCAGATTAGTGAATGCCACTATCATATTTTCCTGGCTTGTTTATTTTCTTTAAGACCCGTACAGTTTGAGCAAAGAGTGTTGGTGAATAGGAGCGGCCATCCTTGGGTACTGAGGAACAGAAATTCTCTTCACCACTAAAACAGGGAGAATAAATATAGTGTATAACTACAGCATACTGTTTTTTTTACCTTGACACTGTCTACAATGCATACATGGGACCTGATAAAACCAAATCTCTTAAGGAATTAAACATACCAATTATAACATATATTTATCCCAATTTTTAAAAATGTATAATTACTGACTGTACTATAATAACTGAATGCTGAAACCCATTTTGTTTTATAGGTACAAGAAACCACTTTCTGCAATTTTCAGCTATAAAATTATAAAGGGAAGAAGAAGCCTTAGAGCAATGAGTGCAATTTACATTAAAGCCTAACTTTATGTTAAAAAAAAAATCAGCACAAAGGACAAAACTTACAATCGATGCCATGTGTCCCTTGTGATGCTCTTTCCTCCTTAGTAGAAATACTTATTCTCCAATCATCCCCTGCCGCTGTAACGTCCCGCTGCTGCACAGGTTAATGGAGCTAATTGAGCAGTGATAGGCACTCATGAGAGTCTGACTATGCTCATCCTTTCTGCCCAGCTCCTCCATTCATAGAAGCTGTACTACAGTGATCTATGAAAGAAGGAGGTGAACTTTTCTATCATCCTCCCCTGCCCTCCATTCATAGATCTGACTATTATAGAAGCTATAGAAGAGCTTCTAAGAATGGAGTAGCTAGGCAGAATGGGTGAGCATAGTGGGGCTCTCTTAATGAGTGCCTGTCACAGCTCCATTAACTCACACTGTACAGGAAAATTACAGCAGCAAGGGTGGGGGGGGGGAAATTGGAGGAGATGGATTTCCACTAAAGGGGGAGACAGCAGCACAAGGGACACATGACAGCAATCAAAAGTTATGTCCCTTGTGCAGATTTTATTGGGTTTTTTTTAGAATAGAATTTGATGAAAATTGTTCAACGGCTTCTTCAGTGTATAATTTTACAGCTGAAAATTTTCCTTATGACGTAATAAAAAGTTTACCTCAAGTTCAAGTAGATGGTGCAGATATCAGAAACCAGTTGCTGTGGCTTGAAATCAAATTCACTAAAATCTTTCACTTTCAAGGCCCCCATCTTAGGGCCCACTAGATGCTGGAGAAAGTAGTTAAGCATAGAAATAATACGTTCTGCTAAAAATGGTTGGACAAAAAGCGAGCGTATATCTAAAGAAAAAAAAAGAAACAGATTTTTTGTTCAGTCAACAAGCCACGATCCATAGAGTCGGAGACAGAAAGCATGGTTTGAGTAGTTTAGCATGGTCTTTCAAGAAATGTTTTATTCCAGGTACACAAAAATATTTGTTGAAGGACCAGAAATGCACTCCAGCTCCTAAGTCTTGTTTCGGGCTGACAACACAGCATATTTGTGGCTTGACTGGTGTCAGCCCTGCCCAGTAGTCTTTAGCTAAACTACTCAAACCATTCCTCTATTCTTTGCAACATAAATTCTAATTGTTCTGCTGTCCCAAAATGAAATTTAGGAGTGCAACTCAGACTCCATGAGATAACACAGAGAGTTTGCACAGGGCAGTTGTGATTTTTTGACAAGGTCAACAAGTATTTTTTGTGTACAGATCATTTAAAAAAAACGTTGAATAATCATTTTATTTAAAAGGGATAAAATAAGAGAAGTTTATTGTCAGGGTTTACAAACACTACAGTCATTGGTCCTGCATACATTGGTTTTGATTTACTAAAAATATTCTCTATGCTATACTCTATACTATAATATACTCTATAGAGTGTAAAATATGGTGACTCTATAGTGAAAAATCTGGTGCAGCTCTGCATATAAACCAATCAGATTCCAAGTTTTATTGTCAAAGCTTAATTGAACAAGCTGAAGTTGGAAGTTGATTGACTACCATGCACAGCTGCAGCAGATTCTGAGCGCACTCGTTTTAGGGCTCTTTCACATGGGATTGACCCGTTTAGCGGATCCGCTTGCTCAGCGGGGGATCTCTCTGCTGATCTCCGCTGAGCAAGTGGATGACAGCTCTGTGTATGCTCCGTTGCTGCAGAGCAAACACAGAGCTGCTCGCTCTCCTCAATGGGCGTTCAGATGAAAACAAACCACCTGTCCATTTTCATCCGATCTGATCCAATCCGATGGACGGAAGGGGAATTGGATCCCCATCTGTCCCTTTTTGGCAGATCGGATGGGATGTCGGCGGGTGTAAACGAATACATGTTTGTTTATACCTGCCACTCCATAGAATAGAATGGAGGTTCTGATTAGGTCCGCCTGAAAAACGGGCAGGTGGACTCGATCAGAATGTTCGTGTGAAAGAGCCCTTTAGGAGATCAGTACACACTATAAAAGGATATGCTTTGTTCACATTTTATTGTCAAATCTTAGTTGAACAAGCTTAAGTTATAAGCTGACTGGCTAACAAAAAACAGCTCCACTAGATTTTGCATTCTCCAGTTTTAGTAAATCAACCCCATTGTATTTCATAAACCAGTGATCAGGCCACTGAAGCCTAACTCCATCTTTAATGTCCCTTTAAATAGTTTGTTTGAGCCACAGTATACAGTGCTGTGTTCTGGCAGTGAGAATGCAAGAACTTCCTGTCCCACTCCTGGAGAAAAATAGAGTTGGGCTAAGCAAGGCTCAGCCATTCACAGGAAGCTTTGTATTCTATGAATGAATAGAAAGCTTCTTCTGATTGGCTGAGGCGGTGATTGTGACATCATTCACCCACTTCTCCATGGCACAAATTATGCTGTCACACCAACAAAACCATTACACTGAAAAGTTCCTATTCCAAAATAAATCTATACTATCATACAGTATATCAACAATTAAAGTGTGTGTAAAGCCAAATTCTATTTTGTGGATAGAGTGGGGAAGGATTAGACCCACTGTGATGAGTTTATTGCGGTCTATGCCCTAGTTGGGAAGACTCACTCCTCTGTTTGTATTTGTGACCATTTTCACTAAGACAAAAACGTATGGGAAATCAAAAATTTTTACAGCCATCACCAGAGTGAGAGAATAGGGATATTTAGTCCTAGGTCAAATCTTCAAGATGGCAATTCCATTCACTTAGATTTCCTCACGATTCCTGTCGTGTCTGCAGGACAGTAATTAATGCAAAATCTCCCCAGTGAGCCAAAGGCAGCAACAATAACCTGATAGGTGTTTTACCCTTTCCTACTATAAAATAAACATTTTGGCCTTTCATACACTTTAAAAGTTTGGCCACTGCCATCAAACACAAACTTCATACAGTATTAAAGAGACCTAGCTTCCATGGGTTTTACTAGCATTTTGTACAAATTATATACTGTAAATAAACATTTAATTGCTTTTTATGAGTGTGTGATTTAGTAAAAATCCATATTTTTTGTACCAAATGTTTCCCAAGCTAGATGTATCATTAGAATATTTAGACTTTTCCTTTTTGCTCCCGGAACAGGTATGTACTGTAGAATAGTCTGTCTTTCATACTTTACCTGATGTAAGAAATGCTAAGGTACCAATAGTTTCATTTGACATGATGTTGTGAAATCTGGCTAGCTGCCCAAACATGAGCAGATTGGATTCCTTCTCTCGTCGGCTCTCAGGGCTCAAATTATCCCATTCGCCTCGATCCCTTTCGATTTGCAGAATTTTAATTTTGCTCAGGTACTGGAAGTCAAGAAAAATTGTATTGTCAGAATGAACCTGAACTGAAAATTCCCTAAAGAGCCACTGTCACCTTGGCCATGCAGGGCAACCCCCCCCCAAATCATATGAATGGGGGTCACATGCTCCTCAATACCTAGAAGTGCTGGGTATTGTGGATGGCTATAGTAGAGGAGGAACAGAGAGCGAGCACTAAAAAGGTTAGTATAAGGGGGTTGGGGGAAGAGGGTCATGCTTGAGCAAGGTGATAGTATCTCTTTAAAGCAAACCTAAAGGATAAGGCAAAAATGACTAATCCCACAGACCCACCCTCATCCCTTCCCACTATATTCTAACCTATAGTGATGAAAAAAGGCATTTAAATGCTTACCTCTAAGCAGCTCTTGGAAAGTGCGTGTGGTGGGGTGAAGGTTAAAAGGACAAGTTTGTCTTTGACTTTGGGTCAATTTTAAAAGTACACGCCATATTTCATTTTTTTTTTCACTCTGGTGCATGCCTTCTTATCTCACTTAAGGGCTCAACCAATTCTGTGCAATGGTCCTAACCACGTTTAAGTATCTTTCCTCTCACTACAACAACAGTGATCCAACTCCTCCTGTCTCCATAATATAAGATATTTTACAAATCTAACTAGAAAAGTAGAGTCTGTTAACTGTCATGTGTACAAAAACGAAACGTGAGCGTACAGCTGTCACAACTGCCCAATAAATATACAGTTAGGTCCATATATATTTGGACACAGGTACAATTTTAGATTTTCAGATATTGACCAAAACATATTCAAGCTATAGTTATTTAATGGATATGGGCTGAAAGTGTACATTCTCAGGTTTAATTTGAGGGTATGTACATCCAAACTGTATTGTTAAGCTGCAATAACCATTAATAACAACAGTTAATTTTTGCATACTATATGACCAAAACATTTGTGGACACCTATTCACCATGCCTTTATGAGCTTGTTGGACATCAAATTGTAAAACTATGGGCATGGGATTCCCCACCCTTAGAGGCTATAACAAGCTCCAGTGTTCTGGGAAGGCTATCCACAAGATAATGAAGTGTGTCTGTGGGTATAGTGCCCATTCAGCATTTGTGAGGTTGTATACTGATGTTCAAGAAGACCTGGCTCACGATTGGCATTACAATTCAAACTAAAGGATTTAGCAGAGCTGAGGTTAGACTACTTGAGTTTCTCCACATTAAACTCATCAAACCATGTCTTGATATACCTGGCTTTGCGCACAAGGGCACAGTCATGTTGGCACAGAAAAAAACCTTCCTCAAATTGCTGTGCATTAAAAAAGCGACTGTCTAAAAAAGTCTTTCTATGCTGTATCAATAAAGCATCCTTCACTGGAAGCAACCTGAACTTAGTCATTTGAAGGTGTGCACAAATAGTGTAGATGTGACTCCAGAAACCTTTGGCAATATAGTGGAGGGAAATGACATCCCTGCCAATAAAATATCAGCCCGCATGTCCTTCAAAAGGACAGTGTTTTGTGGAGGTTTCTCAAAAGGGATAATCTTGTCAAAAAATTGGTGCCTAATACTGAAAGGCACTGGGTTCTTTACCACAATGCCCAGGAGGGAGTGTTGGCACTGTAAAGCAGCTTGCTATTTTTTGGTGAGTTTAGTAGGCTGTAGACCTCCTCCAGGGTGAACTGATAAATCAACCCCCTTTGTCCATTCAGTCTTGTGTGAAATATGAAAATAGTTTTAGAATGTTTTACATAAAGTATTTCATTTAACTATAAAACAACAATCCAACTATGTGCCCATCCTTTGCACTGTCATCATGCAGGCTCTGCATGCTGTACGGTCCCTCTACAGCTGTGTATATGAAACCTAAAAGGTGACCAACCAAACAATACACTGTAGTGTTTGTATTATACATTTGAGTGTTTGTATAATAGTAGACGTCCAAGTGGCTGTGTAAGTATAATAAGTATAATATGATATTGACCTATATGTGCATTACTATCACACTTATTATTCTGCCTATTTTTTAATTTACCTGGATAGCCTCATCCAGTAAGAATACCGCATCATTCATTAATAAATTGAGAAATCGCAGAAACAATGGTGGGCTCACAGCTTCAAGGTTGTCTGCTGCATAATCAGCCAGATTCTGTGGAACACACAAGTAATGTTAGAAATAAAAAGAGTACATAAACACAGATAATAATACCAGGAGTAGCAGGTAATATGTGGAGCCGCTAACCTTTATACTCTGTTGATATGTGTCCTGTCCCCACATATATCTTAAAATAGGGTACATAGGCCGCCGATAGTTAAACTTCTGCTCAAACTGATGAGGGTCCCCTGTGGAAGAATATTTGATACACTAAATGCTGTAGTGTGGAAGGTACAGCCTTTCTGTGATTGAACAGTATTCTGCTATACATACCTGTAAATTCTATATCAACAAACACTTTTATGAGAGCTTCTGCAAGGCGTGGTGCATGCCGATATGAACAAAAGATTCGCTGCCGGTGAAAGACACTGGAGATTAGTGGATTCTGTGTTTGTTCCAAATGGGGCATCACAGCTTCCAGTACCTCTGCTAACTTGGCACGAAGGTGGGGATTTTTCATTCTGGAAAAAAAAATGGTTTTGATTAGATTTCCATGAAGTATTATGAAGAGCAACTCCAGGTAACGTGTAATCTGTATAAAACAACATGACCTAGAAAACTTTGTAAAAGTCTTTACAGTATGGCTGCAACCTCCTGCAATGCGTTCCCAATGTGCTGCCCAACCTCCTTTAATAGATCTACCTCTATCTTCATGTTTCCCACAGACTGCAGTGGGCATGGATAAGCGGAATGAGATTTTTTTTCCCTGATTGATGAGAAGTGTACATCCTATCCAAAACACTGGAAGCTTTTACATGGTCTCCAGAGTCCACTGGTACTGCATTAACCAACATCACTTCCTAAAAAAACTGCTTAATGGACTACTACCTCCTTTCCCATATACATTAGATTGTGTTTAAATTGCTTCAAAAATATATCAAAACAACAACTTAATTCCCCCCTTTTTTTTATTTATACATTTTTATTTTTTTATTCATTACGCAAACAGTATAAAAACACATTAAGCCTCAATAAGATGCATTTCTTAATATATCTATAACCCTCACCCCCCCCCCCCCCCACCCACAACCCACCTTCTCCCAATACCCCCCTCCCCATCTACTCTTAAATCTATCTGTATCTAGAGGTGATCCCTTTTTAGACCTTTCTGACATCTTTAAAACTACCAAGTCTTCTATAGTACAACCTTTGCTCTTAATATTCTGTATACTTTTCCGAGGTCTTAAATTTCATTCAACCACTCCACGTTTTCCTAAATGCCTCGATTTTATCCTCCTCTATGCATCTTAATTCCTCCATTCGCGCAATACCCTCCACTCTGTCTATCCAATCCTCGATCCTTGGGACCTCCTGTCAATATTTGGGGATTAGACCCTTTTGCAGCACTTAACAAATGATACAAAGCTTTGTTTTTACGCAATACCGAAGCTGGGCTCAAAATGATAGAATAGACATTTCCACGGGTCTCCTTGAATATCTACCCCACATATATCTTGGGTATATAGAGCTATTTCCCTCCAAAAATACTTCAGTTTCGAACAACTCCACCATACATGCTCCATGCTACCCCTTTCTTCACAACCTCTCAAACAGCAAGTGGGAGCTAGCTCCCCTTGCTGTGTTGTTTAGCTAAACTTAGAGTTATATACCATCTCGCTAAGCATTTATAATTCATTTCAACTGTGTGCATATTTGTAGCCATATGTGTTGAATTAAAAATAGTTTTTCTTTGCTGTGGATTCAGCTCAACTCCTAATTCCTTCTCCCATTTACTTACATACCCAGGAGGATCTATTCCATCTAAGTCTAAGAGGATCTTATATATCCTTGAAGTCAAATTTTTTGGGGTTCCCACCCCATTCATTAATTTTTCCAGAGGATTCATTTCCTCCAGTGACCTCATAGGTTGAGGTAGACTTGCAACAAAATGATATAGCTGGATATACCTCCATTCATCCAACTTAGTAAATAAGTCTTTCTTTTTTTTTTAACATTTGAAATGTGCATAATTTCCCTCCTTTTACAATATCTTTCAAGCGTGCATTCTTATCTTTTATCCATCTTCCCCCTATTTTAATATTTCCCGGTGCAAAGAATGCTGTACCCTATAATGGGATCAACAATGAATTATATTTCCATTTTTCCTTACTGTGTATTCTATCCTACGTGTCAAATACATTCCTAGTCAACTTACTTGTGCATATATCTAATGTTCTAAACCTATACGGTATCCATATCATCTTCTGTAATTGTGTTTTACTTAATTCCTCTTCTATTTTTACCCAACTTTTCCTTTGAGTGTTAAAGGTCCAATCCACCACACGTGATAGCATTACAGCTGTGTAATAATTCTTCACTTTAAGTAACCCCAGTCCTCCATTCCCTTTTGCTCTACATAGTACCTCATAACTTATTATGGGTCTTGTTTGCCCAAACAAATTTTAGTAATCATCTTCCTGACTATGGTAAAGAAGGCCCCTGGAAGGGCAATCGGGAGCATTTGAAATTCATACAAACTTTTTGAGAGTATTACCATTTTGACTAAGTTTATTCATCCAATCCATGAAGCCCCACCTTTTGCTAGCTTTTTAACTCCTCTTTTATTACGTTTAACAGGGGAATATAATTTGCATGATATTTTTTTACTGAGGTAGTTAATTTTATTCCGAGGTACTCTATTTCCTTTTCCCTCCATGTAAATGAAAATGCCTTCTGAAAATTTTTCTTATCTTTCACTGAGAGATTAATATTTAAAAATTTCTGATTTCATGGGATTTATCTTCAGATTTGATGTCGCCCCATATTTGCTTAATTCTTTCATCAGGTTCAGTAGTATTATTATTGGATTAGCAACATAGAACAGGATGTCGTCTGCATACGCAGCGACTTTATGCTCTATGTCTCCAACTTTTATCCCTCATATATCCTTACTCTTCCTAATCCTTTCCAGGAATGGCTCCAATGACAGCGCAAACAGTAGGGGGGAAAGGGGACATCCTTGCCTTGTTCCATTATACATTTTAAAGAATTGTGAATAGGATCCATTTACCTTTACCAACGCTGATGGCCCATTATACAAACCCTTAATCCAGTTCAACATCTTTATTCCCAATCCCAATTTTTCCAATGTATCAAACATAAAATCTCAGTTAAACCCTGTCAAAGGCTTTTTCAGCGTCCATCGAAAATAATATTACCAGCGTTTTTTCCTTTTTAACTTTTTGAACCAGCATTAGGGATTTAAACCCATTATCCCTTCCCCCTCTCCCTGGAATAAAGCCCACCTGGTCCAAATGTACCCACTCTGGCATCAGGTCCCTCAGCCTTGTTGCCAAGATTTTTGCATACAATTTTATATCAGCATTCAACAACGATATCGGCCTATAACTAGCACATTGCAAGCTGTCTTTCCCTTCCTTCAAGATAAGCACGATATGTGCCTGTAAAGATTCTTCCCTCATCTCCAAACCCTCTCCTATTGCATTCATATAGTGACACATTTTAGGTATAAGAAGATCTTTAAATTTTTTCAAATATCTTACAGTATACCCATCAGGTCCTGAGCTTTTGCCTAGCACCAAGTTTTTTAAAGCTAAATCAATCTCTTCCGGGGTAATAGGACTTTCCAGTTTTTCCGGTACCATTCGGGGCAGCTCAACTCCTCTCAGGTAATTCTGTCTTCTTTCTTTCTTCTCTTCCTCATTTTCTCCCTGATTCCTACCCCTTACATCATACAATTCACTATAAAAGTTATGAAACCTCCTGGCAATGTCTGATGTTTTATACAAGATTTACCCTTTCTCTTCCCTGATTTTTTTCTATAAAATTCCTAGATTTCTTGTTCCTAAGTCTTCTCATTAGATATTTTCCTGGTCTATTCCCCCATTGATATCTTTTTTTGGGTGACTTTATTATATATTCTCCTAGAATCCTGTTCCATCAGATCTTTCAGCTCATCTCTTTTTATTACTATTTCTTGATATTTATCTACAGTGGGGATCGAAAGTTTGGGCACCCCAGCTAAAAATTTGTATTAATGTGCATAAAGAAGCCAAGGAAAGATGGAATAATCTCCAAAAGGCATCAAATTACAGATTAGACATTCTTATAATATGTCAACAAAAGTTAGATTTTATTTCCATCATTTACACTTTCAAAATAACAGAAACCAAAAAAATGGTGTCTGCAAAAGTTTGGGCACCCTGCAGAATTTATAGCATGCACTGCCCCCTTTGCCAAGCTGAGACCTGCCAGTGTCATGGATTGTTCTCAATCATCGTCTGGGAAGACCAGGTGATGTCAATCTCAAAGGTTTTAAATGCCCAGACTCATCTGACCTTGCCCCAACAATCAGCACCATGGGTTCTTCTAAGCAGTTGTCTAGAAAACTGAAACTGAAAATAGTTGACGCTCACAAAGCTGCAGAAGGCTATAAGAAGATAGCAAAGCGTTTTCAGATGTCAATATCCTCTGTTCGGAATGTAATTAAGAAATGGCAGTCATCAGGAACAGTGGAAGTTAAAGCAACATCTAGAAGACCAAGAAAAATATCAGACAGAACAGCTTGCAGGATTGTGAGAAAAACAATTCAAAACCCACGTTTGACTGCACGAGACCTCCAGAAAGATCTGGCAGACACTGGAGTTGTGGTACACTATTCCACTATAAAGAGATACTTGTACAAATATGGTCTTCATGGAAGAGTCATCAGAAGAAAACCTCTTCTACGTCCTCACCACAAAAATCATCGTTTGAACTTTGCAAATGAACATATAGACAAGCCTGATGCATTTTGGAAACACGTTCTGTGGACCGATGAGGTTAAAATTGAACTTTTTGGCTGGAATGAGCAAAGATACGTTTGGAGAAGAAGGGGCACAGAATTTAATGAAAAGAACCTGTGTCCAACTGTTAAGCATGGGGTTGGATCAATCATGCTTTGGGGTTGTTGTGTTGCAGCCAGTGGCACAGGGAACATCTCACGAGTAGAAGGAAAAAAGGATTCAATAAAATTTCAGCAAATTTTGGATGGTAACTTGATGCCATCTGTGAAAAAGCTGAAGTTAAAGAGAGGATGGCTTCTACAAATGGATAATGATCCTAAACACACCTCGAAATCCTCGGGGGATTACATCAAGAGGCGTAAACTGAAGGTTTTACCATGGCCTTCACAATCTCCTGACCTCAACATAATTGAAAATCTATGGATAGACCTTAAAAGAGCAATGCGTGACAGACAGCCCAGAAATCTCAAAGAACTGGAAGACTTTTGTAAGGAAGAATGGGCAAAGATACCTCAAACAAGAATTGAAAGACTCTTGGCTGGCTACAAAAAGTGTTTACAAGCTGTGATACTTGCCAAAGGGGGCAGTACAAGATATTAACTCTGCAGGGTGCCCAAACTTTTGCAGACGCCATTTTTTTGTTTTCTGTTATTTTGAAAGTGTAAATGATGGAAATAAAATCTAACTTTTGTTCACATATTATAAAAATGTCTAATTTGTAATTTGATGCCTTTTGGAGATTTTTCCATCTTTCCTTGGCTTCTTTATGCCATTAATACAAATTTTTAGCTGGGGTGCCCAAACTTTCGATCCCCACTGTATACCCTTCTTTTTTTATGCATTTGTTGCAGTTTATATAGTTCTTCTATAATCCATTTTATTTTCCCCCTTCTTTCCTTCTTCTTTTCTATACCTATGATGATCAATATACCTCTTAAGTAAGTCTTATGTGTTTTTCCCAGACTGTTGCTTCAGACATTCCCTCAGTCTTATTTAATTCAAAAAAATTGTTCTATCTCCCGTCTTAACCTCTTCTCCACTTCGGGGTCCTGCAAGAGTGATTCATTTAATTTCCAGGAGGTAACTTTATCTTCACCCTTCCCTATTTGTGACCTGATCGTGACAAGGGAGTGGTCAGATAATGACATGACCTCTATATTAGATCCTTTCAATGCCTCAAGTTGTCTGTGCTCAATCATTATATAGTCCAGTCTTGAGTATGAACCATGTGCTTGAGAGTAAAAGGTGTAATCTTTTTCCCTAGGATGATTTATCCTCCACACATCTACTAACTGATGTTTATACAGTTGCAAGAAAAAGTATGTGAACCCCTTGGGATTACGTGGAGTTTTGCATGAATTGGGCATAAAATGTGCTCTGAACGTCATCTAAGTCACAACAATAGAAGAACACAGTCTGCTGAACATAATACTACACAAACATTAGATGTTGCCATGGTTTAATTGCACATAACATGTAAACATCCCCCCGCCCCAGCCGATTAAACCCACCCCCCCAACGCTCCGCCATCCCTTAGGGAGTACGTACCATTGGGGAGTGCGCTATGTAGTCATATCCTTACACAAAACCATGGGGAGAGGAAAAGGTTTGGGCAAAGGATGAAGAGAAAAAAAAAAACGGAGAGCGAGATGCTAATCCCACCACCCACCTCTCCTCCCTCTGTCTTCCAATCCCTTGCCCCCCCCTCTCCTTATTCCACCCCCCTCCCTACTAATTCACTTCCTCCTAGTTCCTCCTCCTTAGAACCTGATGCCACCTTCCTGACCCCTGAACTTCTTCCTACCTAGCTCCCTCAGACCATCCCCGGACCAATACTCTCTGCAAATCTAATTTATCACAAAAGTCATTATAGTCTTCAGGATATCTCAGTCTTGCTGATCTTCCGTCTTTCCAGCCAATCAAAGAAGCAGGCGACCCCCAGTTGTATCTGACATTTTTCTCTCTCATATGGATTAATAAAGGTTTTAAAGCCCCCTCCTAGCCAGTGTCTCTGGGGCCATATCTGCGAAGATTTGTAAGACTGCTTCTTCATATTTTATTTCGGAAAAGTCCTGAATCCCTCTCCAGATCCATTCTCTATTTCCTAGATTCTGGAACTTCACGATCACATCTCTAGGACTTTCAACAGGAATTCCCTTTGGGTGTCTAATCCTAAAAACTCTGTCCATTTTAAGGGTCTCAGTCATTTCCCTTTCCATTAATGGGTTACAGATTTTATTTATTTTTTTCTGAGAGATCCTCATCTTGTCCCAATTCTTCCGGCAACCCTCTAATCCTCAGGTTATTCCTTCTAAAAAAGTTCTCTTATTCTTCCAATTTGATGAATAGATCCCTCTGTTTTCTCCACCTCTCTTCTACTTGCTTCTCTAGATACTTAATTTTTTTTTCCTGTTCCTCCGATTTTCTCTTAATTCCTCCATTCGTCCTAACAGATGACTCAGATTTCCCCTTAAGTTCCCAATCTCTTTTTTCAATACAGTCTCCATTTTTGCACACATTTCAGATAGATCTAGTTTTGAAATTGGATGGACCATGGCCCCATCTTGATCTCCTCCTCTTTGTTTTCCTGTATTTTCCATATGAGAGGAATCTCTCTCCTGATTCTCCTCCATCGTCCCATAAGACAATCTATCTTGTTCTCTTCCTAAGTTAATATGCCTTACTTGATAATTTTCTTCGTTTTGAGGTTCAGGACTTTTTTTCCCTTGGGTAGGCAAGTATTTTTTTATATTTGAAGAACTAGCTATTGCTTGGGGGGGTTTTGCGCTCCCTCCTTTAGTCGCTGTATTCCTCATTTTTGTTAGTTGTTCCCTCTTTTATTCTCTCTTCTTCCCAATTTTTTCACAGTGAGATAAAATACTCGTTGATTTCTCTTCAACTTTGCCACTCCCAAGGCAGCAAAATTATACTCATTTTCCAATTGTGCGATATTCAAATAGTGTAAAGTCCAGCTATATGACAGTATTTTCTCTCTTTTTTTTTTTATTAAAACCTCCTTCTCCTGTTTTTCCTCTTCATACAGTTGCCAACATTCTTATTCTACAGAATTCCCATCCTGTGTGCTCTTTTTCAACTTGTCCACTGGAACTTTACAAGTTCCATTATCTCCTCTATACATCTGAGCTTTTATAGGGGGGGGGGGGGGTAATGGTGGTATAAATACTGCATTAGGGCAAGTCCAATTTTATTGCTTTAATACCACTTTTCATTTTTCATCTCCACTCCACTTCAGTCCCAGCACAAGAGGTATGTTACAGCCTGCCAGCCTCCTATGAGTCTACTATGCAGGCTCCCGTCCGCCCATGCAGGCGGTCTTCGGACGCCTATCGGGTCCTCTCCTTGCTCCTAGGACCTCGGCTCTTAGTCCTTCCGATCACCACCACCTCTACACTCCTGCTGCTCTCCGCCCACACCTCGCACCATTCACCGACCTGCACCACTCCGATTCCTCAGCGGATACTGGTCATTACCGGCACACCACGGCATGCGTCTCCGCTCCCAGGCTCCAGGTAAAAGAACTCCTTCTATGCACAGTCCTCATTGATCTCCATCAGCAGGGCTGCGGCGGGTCAGCATACCGCATTGCCCGGCCACGCTGCTCACAGCGCCATATTGCGGTTCCTCCCCCCTGACGAACTGGACTTAATTCCCGCCTTGCTCCAGTTCTGCTATTGAAACATTGTAGCGGTATGTCATTCACTGGGATTGCTTCAAAACGGCTCTCAATAATTTTGAATCTCCATTATAGTTTGTGGGCTGCTTTGGAGATATTATTCCATGTAGTGGATAGAGCACATATAAATATACCTGGAAATTTAAGAACAATTACTGTGCTGATGCAAAAGGTATGCCCCGACTCCTTTATGCTGCATTTATTTCCTATGAATTATAGTTAGCATTCAGAAGAAGCTGTGCTGCACTGCTCATGTGCTAACAAAGAAACATGCTGATAGGAGAATGATCAGTCTGCTGCTTCCCCCTCCAACTTGACTGGACAAAGAAGGAAAAAGACCTGTAAGTGTTACTGCAAAAATAAAAAAAAAAAGCAAAGAACATAAAACAGATGTCCTGCGGTGCTGTGTAGCAGAGCTGTAAACATCAGATCTGGATGCAAAAAAATTTTCTGGCAAATATGGAAATTTTTTGGCAAATAAAATGTCAACCATATATGTATTTAATCAGTTTTTGTAAGTTTTTCTAGAGTTCTGCCTTAAGTAATAAAATCTTAGCCCTCATGGGACAATATTAGTTACGAATAAAGCACACATATCATAATAATATAAAACAATATTGTGGTTGTGACATTGCGGGTGACATGGTCCTGTAAAGCTAAAAAGTACATTTCTTAAATGCTGAAAGTGATACAAAACTTTTGCTCTACATTCCCAGTGCAGTATCGCTTCCCATACTTCCTGTAATTCTTACCTTTCAACACTGCCTAAGAACACAGTAATAAAGTCCAGTATCTGTTCTAAAGATTCAGCAGCAGTTTCCAAAACTTCATCTGCAAACCGTCTCAGAAAGATGAAAAAATCACCCAGATTATCAGCGAAGAATTCTGTTAAAAAACAGACAGTATAATTATGGAATAAACCTAACAGATGTTTTTATACCGATATTTGCTTTTTTCTATTATGTGAAGGTTTTCGTTTCGGTGTTGGATGACCCAAAAAAATATATAGCAGAGAATAACAAGAAAAAATCAATATAGGTCTACAAACTACATGTTAAATTGTCAACATACTCAGAATGGTCTAGAGTTGTCAGTGGTGTACCCCAAGGTTCAGTGTTGGGACCCTTACTTTTTAATATATTTATGAACGATATAGGGTCTGGGATTAAAAATACCACTTCAGTCTTTGCAGATGACACCAAGCTGTGCAGTGGAATAACGTCCTTACAGGATGTCTTCAATTTACAAGCTGACCTCAATGTACTGTTTAATTGGGCAACTATGTGGCAAATGAGGTTTAATGTTGATAAATGTAAGGTTATGCACTTGGGTGCTAAGAATATGCCTGCATCATACATACTAGGGGGGGTACAACTGGGGGAATCAATGGTGGAGAAGGATCTGGGAGTTCTGGTAGATTACAAGCTTAATAATGGCATGCAAGGCCAAGCTGCGGTTTGTAAAGCGAGCAAAATCCTCTCTTATATTAAAAGAGGTATAGACTCCAGAGAGAGAGATATCATATTACCCCTGTACAAATCATTAGTAACACCTCATCTGGAATATGCAGTTCAGTTTTGGGCACCAATTCACAAAAAGAACATTGGGGAACTGGAGAAAGTACAGAGAAGGGCAACCAAACTGATAAGAGGCATGGAGGAGATCAGCTATGAGGAAAGATTAAAGGAACTGAATGTATTCTCTCTTGAGAATAGGAGATGAAGGGGGGATATGATCAACATGTATAAATACATCAGTGGTTCATATAGTGAACTCGGTGTAGAGTTATTCACCCTGAGGTCATCACAGAGGACAAGGGGGCACTCTTTATGTCTGGAGGAAAAGAAATTTAATCTCCAAGCATGAAAAGGTTTCTTCACAGTAAGAGCTGTGAAAATGTGGAATAGACTCCCTCAGGAGTTGGTTCTGGTCAGCTCAGTGGATTGCTTTAAAAAAGGGCCTGGATTCTTTCTTGGATACACAGAATATAACTGGATACTAACATTTAATGTCAAGTTGATCCAGGGAATATCTGACTGCCTCTCGGGGGATCAGGAAGGAATTTTTTCCCATGCAGGAGCAAATTGGATCATGCTTTGATGGGTTTTTTGCCTTCCTCTGGATCAACTGTGGCTGTAGGATAACGTTTTTTTAAAAAATGGTTGAACTGGATGGACTTTTGTCTTTTTTCAGCCAGACTAACTATGTAACTATGTCAAGCCCAATGTTTCTCCCTAATAGCCAGGCTCAAGACCTGATGCAATAGGAAAATATATGTATGGAGTCAAGAAGTGCTTCAACAGACATTCTCACTTCACCCATTCAGGAAAAAGTAACAGTGTCTGTGTAAAAGCATTCCCCTTGGTCCAATGATACTTACCTCTATAGTGATTCCGCACTGTTCCTTCCTCTGATGCAGCTGCCACCAAAATCTTGTGTTTCTGCTACTGTGGGAGTCTAGATTAGAGTGTTGACAGTACCCTCTTAGTCATGTGACAATGCTAAAACCTATAAAATAAGAGAGCTTAAGCTGCTTCTCCAGGTCCCCATTCCACATGACATGGTGATTTACACTAAAAGGGCGTGAGCGTTGAAAGAGCCTGTCTCGGCTCAATGTATGCACATTAACAGGAAGAAAAACAAGGGCCGCACTCCAACGAGAGCCTAAGTGTCAGAGCAGTGAAAACGGCTTTAACCCATTTCTATCCAGGCCACATCCCCAGACATGTTTCACCCCACCCACAGGGCTTAGTCATATGTCCATGAATAAGCCCTGTGGGTGGGGCCAAATGCTTTAATATGTTTGACCAGGATGGACTCAAGTTGAAGCCTCTTTCATTTCTCTGACACTTGGGCTCTCGGAGTGCAGCGTTTGTTTTTTCTTCCTTTTTAAGTGCTAAAACCTAGTTATTGGCGGTTAGGCCTGAGCACTACATCATGTGAGGAGATCACATGCTCCCCATATCCAGAAGTACTAGGTATTTTGCACCAGTTGTGATGGAGGAATGAATGGTGGGGATGGGGTTTTGGAATCACCGCTGTCAAAGTGGTCCTTTCATAACATGTTACAACCTGAATATGGGTTTGTAACATGTTATGAAAGGTGAAAATATCCTTTAAGCTTTGACAAAAAAAAAACTGGAAGCCAATTGGTTTTTATGCAGAGTTGCACCAGATTTTCCACTCTCTAGTTTTAGTAAATCAACCCCTATGTGTCAATTAATCCATTGAAAAGGGGTAATTGCAACAAAAAACAGATGATTAGAATTTGACCTAAATCTTCCCAATCTTTTTTTTCTGCCTCACCTTGTGGATAAAAAATGAAAAATTAATTTAAAGAATATGCAGAAATAACATACGTAACTCTGTAAGACAGAAAAGATCTTGAACAAACGGACAGTTATTGGTTTATTTACTAAAGCTGGAGAGTGCAAAATCAGGCTCAGTTCTGCATAGAAATCAATCAGCTTCCAGGTTTTATTGCCAAAGCTTAATTGAACAAGCTGAAGTTAGAAGCTGATTGGTTTCTATGTAGAAGTGAGCCTGATTTTGCACTCTCCAACTTTAGTAAATAAACCCCTTAGTGCCAACAAGTTCTTTCTGCCCTAGTTTCTGACTTTGTGTAAGGGGGAGGGGGGGTTGAGGGGGCAATACTGCAACGTAAACATTTTTTACTTTAATGCAGGGAATGCATTAAGGTAATAAATGTTAGCCTTTAGAACCACTTTACTAGCAACTTGGAAAGAGGCTAAGACCCTGTGTACAGCTAGGGCATAGGACCCAAGAGTTCCATGAGGATACAGGGATCATTTGCACACTGACACAGGTACCTGCAAGCACCACAAGATGCCTGCACTTCAGCACTATTAACTTAGGCACTCTTTGGCTCAGGACAGGTTACCGGAAAGAAAGGTCAGTGGAAGCAACAGCAGTTTAACTTCCAGCTACTCACATAGTAGAGAATGTTACCTGGTACATAGGCCAGGGCACTGTGCTGTACATCCGACAGAGGAAAGGTGAGTGGAATCAGCTCTGTGCCTCGATTACCCAATGCGATTTGTACCAGCAGGACAGCAGTAGAAACTTGTAGATTGAGGCAGTTCTGTAGGGTGTGAGGTTCACTTAGAGCTGCTTTCAAGCACAAATAAATTGTCATAAGGCGCTCAAACTGTTCTCTTAGGTTCTCGGCACTGGGGTTGCCATTCTGCTGGGCATCTCTCCATGCTCCTTGCAGTCTGTGCAGGCTTTGGTTCACTTTTACCATTTGCTCATGCAACCTGCAATCAGCATTTAAATAAGCATTTTATTCACAATCCAACCCTGCTTTCAATAAGAAAAAAACATGACATTTTCAGCTGTATAGGAAGATTCACACAGGACAGTGCAGCAGCCCAGTACACCAATACTAAAGACTACGCTTGTGCCTCCAACACTTTGAATACCTTTTAATATTTACCCAAACCAATAATTAACATGTAACCAGTGCAGCATTTTAATACCAAAGGCCAATCTTTTGCTTGCAATGCTTTTAATTCACTTTTATTTTAACCCAAACCAACAATTCCATATATTGTGGATAATCAGAAAATTACTGAAAGACAAAACACTGTTAAAGCCACAGTTTGAGGCTATGTTGTATGAATTATTTGTAGCTTTTACATAATTGCTGCCCTATTTTTGTAACTAGAAAAAAAACAGATTTACTGTCAATTAAAAGACTAGGTTGCAGCACTTTCAGTGAGTCATAGCTCAGCTGCAAAATGAATGTTTGCAGAATGTGCAGCTAACTACAGAATTAGCAGCTTCAAAAGCTACTTATTATCCAATGGCTGGGCAGGCGGGCTGAAGGAAAAAAAAACAGAGGTCACTGTACTAACTAAGCAATATTATTGGGGCGATCTTCCCCCATTCAACTATTGTGCTCTGATAGGGGGACTGCCCCCCTCTCTCACTAGGACACAATGATTAGCGCTCGCAGCCATTGGCTGCATATTTTGAGTTGGTTTTTTTTTTGGGGGGGGTGCGAGGTTTGGATGCTGGTTTTCCAGCATGCCTGTTCGATAAAAATCGGTTGTTAGACTGTTGAACTGCTCGATACCAGCTGATATTTCAGTCTTTCGGCTGTCCACCTTTTTGAACACTTTTTCAAACTAGTATAAACAACACTGTTGCTTGAAATTCTTCTTGCTACCAAAAGGCTAAGCCAGAGAAGTATTTTACATATTATACTGGCAAATTTAAAAAAATTAAAGAGGTGTTAAAAAACTCATTTTGTTGCTTTCCTGGTGTTTGCTGTTTAATATTTTTGGAAAGTCCAATCATACTGAAATGGATACACTATTACGCAATAACAAACTATGACCTATGGCCATGTCTAACCCAGCTTCTTCCCCCAAACCATGTTTATTACATCCAATCTATACAAAAGAGCACCTTCTTTTCAAATAAGGACATGTGCCATGGAGGACATTCAACTACACCGATCCTCATTTCACTCACCCTATGCCCAAATGAAAACCTCTTTTTCACTAGAAAAACGCATTGACTCCTGTTAAATTCAGAACAAATGGTGTATTTATATTTGTGTATATGTTGACCAGTCCTCACCTATAGCTGCACTCAGGTTTACGACTGTAGCCTGTTCCCAATGAAACATCCCCCACTATTCATGTGATCCTTATCAGCTTCTAATTGGGGTGGAGTTGAATGCTCATTTGAGCATCTCCCTATAAATTTAGATCAGCTCATGGGGGGAGATCACTGATGGGGGGCACAGTCTCTGATGGGGGGTGCTGCTTTTGATTGAGTGCTGCGTTGAAGGAGTGCAAAGCAGTTAAACACAGCAGTTGAACTTAAGCAGCATGAAGACACAACAACAGCAAGAAACTCTACTGCACGCCTGACAGACTGCAAGCATACACCCTGGGAAACCTCTCTTACATACCTGAGTCCCACTCCGTGTATCTTTATATAATACGCCCCTCTTCTCCTTATCATATTACTATCCTCTGTTCCCAAATCTCATTTCTTTACCCCTCTGCTCCACCCCAAAACTTGTACATCTCCCCCTCATTGCTATCATCTCCCTACTACTGCTCTCATCACGTCCCCAAAATGCCCTCTTCCACTCCTCCTTCTCATTTTCCTCTCCTCCATTCCAAAAATCCATTCACTATATCCCTCTGCCCCTCCCAAACAATTATATATTGTGTCCTCACTGCTTCCTTCGCCCCTCTACGGCACCCACCACCTTCTCCTATTACTCCACTCTCCCACTGACCCAAACACCTCCACTAGTAGTTTCTCACGCTCCTGCACATCCCGCTCCCATGCCACCTTTCTCACCCTTCTCCTCCTCCTAACCGCGGGGGACATCTCCCTGAATCCTGGCGCTCCACCACCTCCCTCACCCACCCGCACAACACCCTCCCACCTTCACGTCCTGCCACAACCCCCGCAACTTAGTATCTGTCCCCCTGCTCCCTAAAATCTCCCCCCCGTTTTCATGTGCACTCCTGAACGCCCGATCGGTGTGCAACAAGCTTACCGCCATCCATGACCTCTTTGTTTCCCGCTCTCTCAACCTCCTGGCGATTACGGAAACCTGCATCCAGGCCACTGACTCTACCTCCCCTGCTCCACTCTCCTACGGAGGTCTCACCTGGACCCCCTCACCCAGGCCTAACGGTGGTAAAGGTGGTGGGGTTGGTCTGCTCCTGTCACCGCAGAGCACCTTTCCGAGTCCTCCCAAACCCCCCCTCCCTATCCTTCTCCTCCTTCGAGGCCCACTGCATCCGACTATTCTCCCCAACCCCCCTGAAGATTGCTGTGATATACCGGCCTCCTGGATCCATATCCCGCTTCCTGGATGACTTTTCCTCCTGGCTACTCTTCTTCCTCTCCTCTGAGCTACCCACCATCATCCTTGGGGATTTCAACATCCCTGTCAACCTCGACAACCCGGACACATCCCATCTCCTCCACTTAACCTCCTCCTTTGCACTTGCACAGTGCATACAATCCACCACCCACTCCAACGGTAATATCCTTGATCTCATCTTCTCCAACCGATGCGCTCCCCACAACCTCACTAACACCCCCTTCCCTCTCTCTGACCACAACCTGATTACCTTCTCTATCTCCTCGTCCTCTAACGCCTACCCCTCCAAATGTCACACTACTACCAGCCGTACCCTCCGCAACCTTAACCCTGCCCCCCTCCACTCTGCAGCTGATCAACTCCATGACAGCATCCTCCCCCTATCCTGCCCCGACTTGGCTATGACTGCCTACAACAACGCGCTGTAAACAGCCCTTGACTCACTAGCGCCTTTAACCACACGCAACATCAGATCCCCGACCACTCCAGCCCTGGCAGACTGATCACACCAAAACCCTCAAACGACACAGTCATGCCCTGGAGCAACTATGGCGCAAAACCACATCCCAACAAGCCTTCACCCGCTACAAATCTGCCTTCCACACCTACACCTCCCCCCTCCACGCAGCCAAACAAGCCTACTTCCTGACCCTCATCAAGGCCCTCTCCTCCAATCCTCGCCGACTCTTCTCCACCTTCAACTCTCTACTCTCGCCACCCCCCACCTCCACCCCGCACCTCACTCACTGCCCTTGAGATTGCCAATCACTTCAAAAACAAGATTGACACAATTCGCAAGGACATCGCCGCAACTCACACGCCCTCTCAACCCGTCCCCTCTCACACAGCTACCCCCTCATCCCCCCTCGACATAACCCGCAGGGACTTCGTCGCTGCTCAAACTCCCTCCAACCCCATTCCCACCTCACTCAGCTGCCCCTCATCACCCCTCTCCCACAGCCCACCACTGCTCTGACCTCCACTTGCACCCCACCCTACATTCCTCATACTGAAGCTCCCCCAACACTCCGCACCTTTGACCTTACTACCATCGAGGAAGTCTCCAAGATCCTCTCTGCTGCCCGCCTCACCACCTGCCCCCTCGACCCTATCCCCTCACAACTCCTACGGCCTCCCTCCCCCTCCATCCTACGCTCCCTCACCCACATCTTCAATCTCTCCCTCTCCTCCGGCACTTTCCCCTCCCCTCTGAAACATGCACACATCACCTCCATACTTAAAAAGCCCTCCCTGGACCCCAATGACCCGAACAACCTCAGACCCATCTCCCTGCTCCCATTCACATCTAAACTCCTCGAGCACCTAGTCTACACCCGCCTAAGCTCTCACCTCAACGACAACAACCTCCTCGATCCCCTACATTCTGGCTTCTGTCCCCTACACTCCACCGAAACTGCCTTACTCAAACTCTCCAACGACCTACTAACCGCCAAAGCTAATGGCCACTATTCAGTGCTCCTACTCCTTGACCTCTCTGCGGCCTTCGACACAGTCGACCACCCCCTCCTCCTCAAAAAACTACACTCCCTCAGCCTCAAAGATTCTGCTCTCTTCTGGCTCTCATCCTACCTGTCACAACGCTCTTTTAGCGTTACCTATAATGCTACCACCTCCCCCTCACTCCCCCTCTCTGTTGGGGTCCCTCAAGGCTCTGTCCTTGGGCCCCTTCTCTTCTCCATCTATACCTCCTCCCTTGGCCAACTCATGCACTCTCACGGCTTCAACTACCACCTCTATGCCGACGACACACAAATCTATCTCTCAACCCCCCACCTCACCCCCTCGGTCTCCGCCCGAATCACACACCTACTGAGCGACATATCAGACTGGATGTCACTCCACTTCCTTAAACTGAACCTCTCCAAAACCGAGTTTCTTGTCTTCCCCCCAGCCCGCACACCACCCCCCATTGACTTCTCCATCACATCCAATAACGCCACCATCAAACCCGCCCCACAGGCCAGAGTACTTGGTGTCATTCTGGACTCCAACCTATCCTTCCAGCCCCAAGTCCAATCTTTAACAAACTCGTGCAGACTCCACCTGCGCAACATCGCCAAAATCCGCACGTTCCTAACCCCAAAAAACACTAAACAGCTCATCCACTCCCTCATCATATCACGACTCGACTACTGCAACTCCCTCCTCACTGGCCTGCCTCGCCGCTGGCTATCCCTGCTTCAGTCGATCCTGAATACGGCTGCCAGACTCATTCACCTTTCCAACCGCTCCATTTCCGCCACCCCCCTCTGCCAATCCCTCCACTGGCTTCCGATTGCGCAACGGATCAAATTCAAAATCCTAACACTGACGTACAAAGCCGTCCACCATACTGCCCCGAACTACATCACTGACCTAATATCCAAGTACCGCCCAGCACGCACACTCCGCTCCTCACAAGACCTCCTTCTCTCTAGCTCCCTGGTCTCCTCCTCCCATGTCCGCCTCCAGGACTTCTCCAGGGTGTCACCCATCCTCTGGAACTCCCTGCCCCAACCCATCAGATTATCACCTACTCTCCTCTCCTTTAGGTGCACCCTGAAAACCTATCTCTTCAGGGAAGCCTACCCCACCCCCTGCTAACTTGCAGACCTCCTCCACTCTTCCTACCACTCCATCCCCCACAGCTATCTCCTCCTGTGCCACCATCCCCTCCCTCCTAGATTGTAAGCTCGAAAGAGCAGGGTCCTCAATCCCCTCATGTTTTGCATTGTATTGGTATTGTTCTGTCACATGTTCCATCCCCCTCTGTAATGTACAGCGCTGAGCGAACTATTGGCGCTTTATAAATACTGTATAATAATAATAATAATGTACCTGTGAAAGCCTAAATGAAGTGTGTACTGTGTGAGCACCAAGTTTTCTGTCACCAAGTTGAAGGTCTGAGGAAAGTCCGGTTGCTGGTCATCAGCAGTTGGAATTAAACAAGTTTCTTTGTTGAGTCCTACGTGGAGTAGAAAATATTGAATGACAGAGTTGAGTATATAGGTAATGAATGTACATTAGATAAGTAGGGTAATGACTGGGTAGACAGAAAAACTTCTTTTTTTAACTTGAGATGTTGAAACAGTTTAGTTCATTTTTTGTGGAACATTGAAATGGAACTAAAAGGCAAACTTTTTTATTTTTTTATTTTTATACAATGGAAAGGGATTGGAACACCTGTCAGTTTTTATTGCTGTCTGTGCTCTGGTATAGGAGAGTCACCCTCTCTGTTTGACCTGTTTACCATATTCATCGAAAGTGAAAGTAAAGGACAATCCCAAATTTTGGGTTGACACCAGAACAGTAATAAAGGAGAAATATTCCCATGTGGACAGTAGTTCTGGTGACACCCACCAGGATTCCCTCACTTTGGAGGGATTTCCGATCACTTCCTGTTTGGCAATGGGGCAGAAAATGAAGGGAAATCTCCCCTATGGGACACAGATGGCAAAAAAAAACCTGACAGGTGTTTTAACCCTCCCTTACTTAATCCGAAATAAAAAAAAATTGCCTTTAGTTACTCTTCAGACTTTTACCAGAAAATGCCTTACACAAACAGCTCTTCCTACTGTGATGTCCCACTCAAGTACTGGTCAGTTATGAGTTTGATTTATTATTAGTGCAATAGTTTTATCATGTGTAAGTACTTCACAAATTATATAATTCACTAAACAACTTGAACTTCTGAGAAAAAAAAAAAACCACAAACCTATTCTGCACGATATTGTCCATCTTGGCAAACTTCGACTGAGAAATCGAAGGAGCAGAATAGGAAAAGGTTGGCCAAAGAGTGACTGTAGTCCATAAGCTGCAGTCATTGTTCAGGTATTTTTGAGAGCTGGGGTCCTAACTGTCAGAATACAATACCTGGCAGCAAGAGATACAACCATCCACATTCTTTAGTGTGGATGAGTGAAGCTATGGATTTCTATGGAGAAATCTTTACGTGTATGGCCAACTTAAGAAAGATTTCACAATTCTTTCATAAGAAAAACAACACTAGATAGAGCACCTCCAATAATTAAAAGGGAAAACATCTATGTTATTTGTGCTCACCCTTCATGTGGACATTCCAGGTCCTGCGCTCCTCTTCATTGATCTCACGCAGAGCACAGTAAGTGGGGTTGAATGTCAGCAGGCGAGCAGATTTTGGCTTACAAAAAGGCTGGCACAAGCGAAGTAAGGCAGCACCCAAATTTAAAAAGAAGCTATCAGAAGCATAGGTCTGAAGGAAAATTTCAGGGACCTGGCTGGCCCAAATTTTGGCACGACCAGCATTTGCATGTAGACAGTTCCCCAGCCATAACAAAATATGCTGCTTGGTATCTGCAGATAACTGAAGGAGGTTCTTCAAAAGCTGATAAATCTTCTCATGAAACTGAGCCATGAACTGATCAAGAAAGAAATGTAAAGAGTTATATACAAAGTGCAGCTAACCAAAAATGATCAGTAATTATTCTTATGACCTGAATTCCACGTTTGTACATATTTTAACATATTCTGCTGTGTAAAAAGAGCCGTAGAATCTTCTATAGAAAACATTCACGTACTAATAGGAATCAGAAAATGAATGAACAGTATGTTGAAGTTATGCACTTAAAAGGAGATGTATAGCCAAAGCTATTTTGGCTGTACTTCATGAATCACAGGAGTGCAGATTGTTCTGCACTCCTGTGACCTGTTTTTAACTGACAGCAGGCTAAACCCCACTGTCAACTTATGTCAGAGCCAGTTCAGGCTCTGAAAAGATCCGGACCATATGGTTGGGATCCGCCTAGAAGCCTGGACCAGCAGCTGGCTCAACCTCTCAGTGAGCCGCTAACAGCCTGAGTCAGACACTTCTGTGCCGTATACAACCCAGCACTCCAGTGAGCGCTGGGGGGCAGAGCAGAGAGCCAGTGGCTGAAGATCACCAGCTCTCTGCAGGCTGTAGACCAAGAACTGAGCAATCTTCAGTCATTGATCACTCAGTTCTCAGTCTTAGAGGCAGAGGGGGACAGCTGCAGCTGTAATTGGTGCTGCAGCCATCTGGCTGAGTATGACTGTTGTATTCTAAAGCCAGTTTGTTGTTTTCTCTTTTAGGAATTAAATCAACAAATTCATTTTGGAATTTGAAAAATACAACGACCCTGATTCAGCAAGCTATGATATGGGATGCTGCATGCAAAAAATTGCATATAAAGTTATATTATCACAAAGTGGCACAAGGCAAATGTCACATCTGATTAACAAAGCGTCTTCACCGAATTGAATGGTAACATGTAAGTGTTAGGATTGCTTTAAAGCAGGGTTTCTCAACTTTGTTTTTCCCTTGGAGGAACGCTTGGCAAAAAAGCTGGATACATCAGGGAATCCTTGAAAAAACACAGCTCTTGAGCTTTTGATATTGCAATAATTATTTTTAGAAATAGTATTAAATAATAGAAACAATTGTGCTTGCTTTTTTCTGCACAGATGCTGAATTCTGGGTCAAAAATGAGATAAGCCATGTATAGGGGAGGTCGGCAGGGCACATTACATGGAGTGGCAGGAGGGCACATTAGATGCAATCAGGGCACATTACATGGGCATAGGGCAAATTATATTATGGGACACACAGCAGGGCACACTACATGGGGGTAGCACAAATTATGGGGTACACAGCAGGACATATTATCATAGTGGTTTCCTTCATATGCAAAGCAGCTGTGATGATGGTTTTTTTTCCCCGCTGTCCCCTCCTCTCTTATCCAACTCATGTGATGTCATATCATATACAAGCTCCTGGTATGCACAGAAAGTAAAGAGGGGACAGCGGGGAACAGCATGCCACAACCACCACTATCACAGCTACTTCCCTGCATCCCTCTCCCTGTGTCGGCACCGGGAATGCGATCTACCTGTCAGCTGCCTGCTATTGATGAGCAAATTGTGGCGGAACACCTGGGAACCTCTTGCAGAACCCTAGAGTTCCACGGAACCACATATGAGAAACCCTGCTTTAGAGTGTCAAAGTTAGTCTTTAGAGCTAGTATTGCATTGTATTCTAGTGCTGCTGTCAAGTTACACACACGTACTCTGCGTGTGTGTGTACATATATATATATATATATATATATATATATATATATATATATATATATATATATATATATATATACACACACACACATATACATACATGTACACACAGTGCATCCAGAAAGTATTCACAGCACTTAACTTTTTGCCACATATTGTTATGTTACAGCCTTATTCCAAAATGGATGAAATTAATTTTTTTCCTCAACATTCTACAAACAACACCCCATAATGACAACTCGAAAGAAGTTCATTTTGAAATCTTTGAAATTTATTAAAAATAAAAAAAACATGTACATAAGTATTCACAGCCTTTGCTCAACACTTTTTTGAAGCACCTTTAGTACTAATTACAGCCTCAAAGTCGTCATGAGTACTACACGCTTGGCACACCTATTTGTGGGCAATTTCTCCCATTCTGCTTTGCAGGATGCACTGTGTGTATATATACGTATATACATACACATATACACACACATACATACACATACAGTTAGGTCCATATATATTTGGACACAGGCACATTTCAGTACAGGTAGACAATAATTCAAAACACACTGCAAAGCAACCCAGGAGCGTTTGAAGAGAAAGAAGTGAAATATTCTGCAACGGCCAAATCAGTCACCTGATCTCAACCCAATTGAGCAGCATGCATTTCACTTGCTGAAGGCTAAACTAAAGGCGGAAAGACCCACAAACAAAGAACAATGAAGACAGCTGCAGTTAAGGCCTGGCAAAACATCAAATAGGTGGAAACCCAGTCTTTGGTAATGTCCATGGGTTCCAGACTTCAGGCAGTCATTGACAGTAAAGGATTCTCAACAAAATAAATGAACATTTTATTTATAATTATATTCAGTTGTCCAATTACTTTTGGTCCCTTGAAAAAGGGGGATGGCTACTCTTAAGAGCTGTAATTCCCAAACCCTTCCTCCAATTTGGATGTACATAACCTCATAAAGCATGGTGAATAGATGTCCACAAATGTTTTGGTCATATAGTATGCAAAACTTAACTGTTGTTATTAATGGTTATTGCTGCTTAATACAGTTTGGATGTACATACCCTCTCAAATTAAACCTGAGAGTATGCACTTTGAGCACATATCCATTACATAACTAAAGCTTGAATATGTTTTGGTAAATACCTGAAAAAACTAAAATTGTGCCTGTGTCCAAATATATATGGACCTAACTGTATATAGAATAATTTTTCCTTCTGAGCCATGCAAGCCGTTTTTTTTCCTAACCAGTAAGCATGTGGACCCTGCTATACTGATAGCCAAAATGATCTTCAGCACAGGGAAAATGGTTTCAGAAGAGGTTGCAAAATGAGGAAACACCCCTCCCATAATACTGATGCTTGTTCGATTATGGGTACAGGTTTTGACACTGAGACTTTGCAAACACATAAGTCCAGTGAGCATAGAAATAAGTTTAGGCACAACCATCTGCTGAACTGGTAAAAGGTGTCCTTTGCACCTCTGTTCATCTAAAATGAAAAGAAAAGCCACTTAACCTTGTTAAAAATTATTTCTTGTAAATTCAACTTGAAATTCAGGATTATCAGATCTTCTATATCCTATTCCACATCCATCTTATTCTTGGAACATTTGAGCAGAAATATGAAACTCGCATTCCTTCAAACTTAGGTATGATAACTATTTCTTGACCAAGGGTTCCTTAGTCACCAGGCAGTAGCTAGGATGTGAATGTACAGAATGCTTGTGTCCCCTGTGCATTTTATCTGAGCTGGTATATGAAAAGAAGAAAAATAGCTTGGCAAACTTTAGTAACTTGGGTTCTGAAAGGACTGATTTACCTGGTGGATATTTGATTCTTGAACCTTTATCTCCTGTGGGCTGGAACGTGATGGGTTTAAAAAATATCCATGATTTTCTACCACACCAGGGGTACGTAATAGACAGGAAATGCTAAGAATTTCACCCAGCAATGTTTTTTGGTATTGATGCCCATTTGATGGATCTTGAGGTTGAATGTGTTTCACAAAAACCTATATAAAGAAAAAAAATGTTTCTTTAGGCAAGGAAACCACAACAGAAGCCAACTCTTTCAGTGTTACAGTGGCCATCTGTCATCACAGAAGTTATTATATTACTGTAATGGAAATTCTTACCTATATTACCATGTTTTCAATACAAAAATTACTAGGGCAATGAAACTGTAAGCTGATTTAAAACAGAACTTCAACCAAAAGTAATAAAACAAGCTTTTGGTTGCAATAGTCAACTTGAATCCAAAGATTTCCCCCATGGCACATTTTTTATTCTGGTAGCTGTCCCCAGTCTGGTGGCCAACTTCATTTAACAAACTTACTCTGATGCCAGGTTGCCCTGGACCTGCCCCAGTCTGTGACTGGACAGTGAAAGTAGAAGCAGCACAGTGATTATTCCATCTCTCTGTCAATCTGCTTTCTCCTCCTACCAGCATGCTTCTCATCTTCACGTAAGCTGATTGGCTCCTTTTACTGCTACTTCCTCTCACACTACAGCCCTGCAAACCTGACAATGGCTTGTTTCAAAGGCTGGGACTTTGGCTCAGTGGGTCCCAGAAAATCAGCTCTGGTGAAAAAGGTCTGCCCTTTAAATGCATCAGTGGTGATGTATGCTAGGAACAGTGGATATATGCTGTCTAACAGGATTTACTATAAGGATTTCTTCTATGCAGCGAGGGTTGAGCAGGTCTTGTCCTTGATGTTATTTTATACACTGTGTGCACAATTATTAGGCAATTTGTATTTTTGAGGATTAATTTCATTAATTCGCTGAGCAAACTTTTTGGCGCTATATAAATACTGTATAATAATTATTGAACTACAGTGCTCTCGGCCAATCCAAAATGGTAATAAACCTCAAACCTGAATATTTAAGAAAGTAAAAGTTTTGGCTTTCTTAGGTAAATAACTATGTGTGCAGAATTATTGGTCAACTAATAGTGTGCAGAATTATTATGCAATTAAATAAAAAACTAAAAAACTTTCCCATCTCTTATTTTCATCTGTTAAAGTGAGAATAACAAACACTCAAAATTTACAAATAAACATTTCTGATATATAAAAAAAAAAAAAAAAATCAGTGACCAATATAGCCACCCTTCTTTTCAATAACAGTCATAAGCCTTCCATTTATGGAGTCTGTCAGTTTGTTGATCTGTTGATCTGTGCAGCAAACCACAGCCTCCCAGACACTGTTTAGAGAGGTGTACTGTTTTCTTCTTCACCATAAATCTCCCATTTAAGAAGAGCCCACAAGTTTATAATAAGGTTTAGGTCAAGTGAGGAAGGGGGCCATGTCATTATTCTTTCATCTTTAAGGCCTTTACTGGCTAGCCACACAGTGGAGTACTTTGATGCATGTCATGGAAAATTATCCTGCATGGTCTTTTTGAAAGATGCAGACTTTTTCCTGTACCACTGCTTGGAGAAAGTGTCTTCTAAGAACTAGCAGTAGGTTCGGGAGTTGATTTTGAGTCCATCCTTAACTCAAAAAAGGTCCAACTAGCTCATCTTTAATAATGCCAGCCCATAGCAGTACTCCACCTCCACCATGCTGGCATCTGAGTCGAAGTGGAGCTCTGTGCCAGATACTGATCCAGATATTGGTCCAGCCACGGGCCCATCCATTTGGTCCGTCAAGAATCACTCTCTCATCTCATCAGTCCATAAAACCTTTGAAATCTCTGTCTTCAGATATTTCTTGGCCCAGGCTTGAAGTTTCAACTCAAATGTGTCTTGTCCAGTGGTGGTCGGGTTTCAACCTGCCTTACCTTGGCCATGTCTCTGGGCACTGAACACCTTGTACTTCTGGGCACTCCAGGTAGGTTGCAGTTCTGGAATATGACAGCACTGGAGGATAATAGGTTCCTGATAGCTTCACGTTTGACTCTTCTGAAATCTTTGACAGTTAATTTGTATCTTTTTTTCTCAACGCATTTCTTGCGAACCTGTTGACTATTTGCAACAAAACGTTTGATGGTTTGATCACGCCCCAATATCTTACAGTCATGGCCGAAATTGTTGGCACCCTTGATATTTTTCCTGAAAATCAAGTATTTCACACACAAAAAAAGGTATTGCATTAACACATGTTTTGCTATACACATGTTTATTCCCTTTGTATGTATTGGAACAAATATAAAACAGAGGCAGAAAAGCAAATATGACATAATGTCACACAAAACCCCCAAAAAATGGGCTGGACAAAAGTATTGGCACCCTTAACTTAATATTTGGTTGCACACCCTTTGGAAAACATAACTGAAATCAGTCGCTTCCTATAACCATCAATAAGCTTCTGACACCTCTCACCCGAATTTTGGACCACTCTTCCTTTGCAAACAGCTCCAGGTCTCTCTTATTGGAAGGACACCTTTTCCCAACAGCAATTTTAAGATCTCTCCACAGGTGTTCAATGGGATTTAGATCTGGGCTCATTGCTGGCCACTTCAGAACTCTCCAGCGCTTCTTTGCCATCCATTTCTGAGTGCTTTTTGACGTATGTTTGGGGTCATTGTCCTGCTGGAAGACCCAGGATCTTGGACGCAAACCCAGCTTTCTGACACTGGGCCCTACAGTGCGACCCAAAATCCTTTGGTAATCCTCAGATTTCATGATGCCTTGCACACAGTCAAGGCACCCAGTGCCAGAGGCAGCAAAACAACCCCAAAACATCATTGAACCTCCACCATATTTTACCGTAGGTACTGTGTTTTGTTCTTTGTAGGCCTCATTCCGTTTTCGGTAAACAGTAGAATGATGTGCTTTACCGAAAAGCTCTATCTTGGTCTCATCTGTCCACAAGACGTTTTCCCAGAAGGCTTTTGGCTTACTCAAGTACATTTTTGGCAAACTGTAGTCTTGCTTTTTTATGTCTCTGTGTCAGCAGTGGGGGTCCTCCTGGGTCTCCTGCCATAGCGTTTCATTTCATTTAAATGTCGACGGATAGTTCGCGCTGACACTGATGCTCCCTGAGCCTGCAGGACAGCTTGAATGTCTTTGGAACATGTTTGGGGCTGCTTATCCACCATCCGGACTATTCTGCGTTGCAATCTTTCATCAATTTTCCTCATCCGTCCACGACCAGGGAGATTAGCTACAGTGCCATGGGTTGCAAACTTCTTGATAATGTTGCGCACTGTGGACAAAGGCAAATCTAGTTCTCTGGAGATGGACTTGTAACCTTGAGATTGTTGATATTTTGCCACAATTTTGGTTCTCAGGTCCTCAGACAGTTCTCTCGTCTCCTCTTTCTGTTGTCCATGCTTAGTGTGGCACAGACAGACACACAATGCAAAGGTTAAGTGAACGTCTCTCCTTTTATCTGCTTTCAGGTGTGATTTTCTATATTGCCCACACCTGTTACTTGCCCCAGGTGAGTTTACAGGAGCATCACATGCTTGTAACATTCTTATTTATCCCGCAGTTGTGAAAGGGTGCCAATACTTTTGTCCAGCCCATTTTTGGAGGTTTGTGTGACATTATGTCGAATTTGCTTTCTTTCCTCCCTTTTTTTGTTTTGTCCCAATACACACAAAGGGAATAAACATGTGTATAGCAAAACATGTGTTAATGCAATACGTTTCGTGAGAAATACATGATTTCCTGGAGAAATATCAAGGGTGCCAACAATTTCGGCCATGACTGTAGCAATTTCAAGAGTGCTCCATCTCTCTGATTTTACAATTTTTGACTTTTCAGAGTCAGTTAAATCTTTCTTGGCCCATTTTGCCTGAGGAAAAGAAGCTGCCTAATATTTATGCACACCTTTATATAGGGTGTTGATCTCCTTAGGCCACACCCTCCCTCATTTCACAAATACACATCACCTAATATGCTTAAATCCAATAAGCATTCAAGTTTATACAGCTTGGAGTTGGACAATATGCAAAAAAAAAGATGGTTTCCTCCAAATACGCACTTGCCTAATAATTGTGCACACTGTGTGAGACAAATCAAATTTGTAAAGAACATTTGTGAGTACCAGTCTTTACTAGTTTTAATTAAAGCAGAACTAAGGACAAAACTCATTTTTTTCATTTTGGATAGATTGAAGGGAGGATTATAACCCCTGCCAGGCTTTTTTTTTGTTTGCTGTGTCCCATTGGGGAGATTTCCCTTCACTTCCTGCCCCATAGCCAAAAACAGGAAGTGGGAAGAAATACCTCCAAATTGAGGATTATCCTTGATTGTTGTCACCAAGGTCACTAGAACTAGTGATCCCATTGGAAGAGTTCCCCCATTACTGTTCCGGGAACAATGAAAAATGTGGGATTTTCTTTTACTTTCACTTTTGATGATAATGGTAAACATGACAAATACACTATTCCTCCTTCTACTAACTACAGGTACTATGTAATTGCTTTACATTCACCGATGTTGGAGCATTTTCTACTGCCGCTGGCTACTCTGGCCCCTCTAAAGCCTTAAGGACAGTAAACTGGCCCTTTGTTTAGAAAGTTTTGAGGCCCCTACTTTAAGGTTTAACAGGATGCTTGTACACTTGTACTTCGGTTTGCTCTTTAATATTTTATAAAGACTCTCAGTCATGCAGCATAACTATTGCAACAACAACAGAGAACATTTATGTGGAAAGACATATTTCAGTAGCAAAAGATGTTCTAAAGCTATAAAAGTCACTGATATTGACAAATTGCATGCAGGTAGGAGTTTACAGACTTTAAAGTGTTACTAAACCCAGGATCCTGCATTCACTATATCTTGTCTACCACAGTACACAGGACATGGCAATGCAATTATTTTAGTAAATATAAACAATTACATTTCCATGTCCTGTGTACTGTGGGAGACCAGATACAGTGAATGCAGGGTCATGGGTTTAGTAACACTTTAAAGTCTGTAAACTCCTGCCTGATGGAAAAAGGTATATAAAAAGTTTAGTAAATATAAACTGCTATATGCCTTTTTCCATCAGCAGTTAGAGCTGTCTTGTAATTTCTATCAGTGTTCAGTAGAGCACTGGTTAAAGCTTGTAGGAGGAGTTTTTTTTCTGCTCTAGTAGGATGCAGACCCCTGACCTCTGTCTGCATAGTGCTGATTGGCCCTGTGCTGATCATATACACCCAAAAAAAAAAAAACAGACAAACAAATCTCTCTAGCAATACACACCTAACTGAGCATGTGCAGAGTGTCTCCACACAAAGTATGTTATCATGAGATAAGAGGAGGATCAGAGAAGTCAAGATCAAACAGTCTTTTTACACAATGCAGAGGATTAACCCCTTAGGTTCCACAGTGAGTATAACAAGCATGCATTACTGCATATACAGACTGGTTTTACTGCTGTGGGTTTAGTTACACTTTAAAAGCTAAGTTCACGTCTTGCAAAAAAAAAAAAGTAATGAATGCTCTCATATTTGCAGAAAAAAAATAGATTTTATTAACTTGTAAAACTCCTTTCTTGGAGTACAACACAGGACACGGTATCTTCATATTCATGACTACTTGGCTGACTAATGCTGACACCTGCAGGTGAAAGGACACTGGCCAAAAAATGTTGACTAATGTTGCCACCTACAGGTGAAAGGACACTGGCCCAAAAAAATAAATAAATAAATAAGTTTCCCTTCCCAGGCATAATGCCTTCCCGCACAGAACAATGTTGTTGCAAGGAGTGAGGAACCATACAAAGAGTACTCCAAGAAAAAGGATTTTAAATGTAAACCAAAAATCCTCATTTCTTAATTATACATCACAGGACACAAAGTTTCTTTATAGTCATGACTACTTTAGATGTCCCAAAGCACTGAACATGAGGGGGGAGCAACACAGCACAATGGCAAAAAAGGCCAAAACAGAACAGTGTAAACCCCACTACAGAGCCACCTGCTGAAGCTTCCCCCCATAACTGGAGTCTGTGGAGGAGAGTACATCTACCCAATAAAACATAATAATTGTGTGGACAGATGACCAGATTGCAGCCTTACAAATTAAGCAGTTGAAGCTTGATGCCGAAGTACCCAGGAGGATCTCTTGCTAGAATGGGATATGACTGGAAAAGAAGGACCCTAAGAAGGAAATCCTTAGAAATTCCTTCTAATGAAATTAGCAAAGCAGAGAAGGATATGTGCCTTAGTATGCTTACATTAGGCTTTGTTTTGCTCACCTTTGCAATGTCTTTTTGCTTGGTACAGTATAGAAGTATGTCCAGATAGGTGTAAAGAAGCATCAGACATAAATCCAAGTCCCTTACACGTTCCAGAATAACATCAAACACAGGTAGGAAAACTTCACTGAAGGAGCGTACGTCTTCATCTGCCACAAGTGCCTCTGTGATTTCCTCTAAGAATTCTACGACCTCTTCAAAGTCTGAAGGAAAGTTTTGGACATGAAAGCAAAGATTGTTCACCTTACAATCTGGTTAAGAAGTGAAAATAATCATTTCTTCACGAATAAACTCCAGGTATATCACTGTAAACACAACACTAAGGGATCAGTTTCTAAATGTGCTAAAAAGATTCACACAACATTCACTTAGGATTTACACATTTCTGATTGAATAAAAAAAGAAAAAATATGAATAATGGGTGAAAGTCGTGTGAAAACATTTATAAGTAGTGCATGAATGAAAAGTAAAGTTTTGGATCGAAGTAGTAAAGAATTAGAACCTCTGTCAAGTTGTTTTTTTTGCTACCTGTCAACCAGCTGGGGAGATTCTGGTGATTTTCTATTTGTCATTAGGACAGAAAGTGATGGGCATTTCAAAATTTGTCACCACAACAAAATCTTCCAATGGGGACACCTCACAACAGTCAGAGGGGAATTCCCCCTCACTTTGTAGACATTTCCTCTCACTTCCTGTTTCATCACTAGCAAAGGAAGTAAAGGGGAATTTCCCCACTGAGACACAAACAGCAAAAGAAATTAAACTCACAGAGGCTTTAACCCTTTCCTATTCGATCCAAACTTTAAAAAAAAAAGGTTTGTCTGTGAATATACTTTAATACATCCCTAAGACTAACCATCCACCCCAAAAATCTGAAACAATTTTACTAACCCATATTATTGCAATGCACTATAACCAGAATGAAAATATAAATGACATTCTTAAAGCCTAAGGCCCCTTTCCATTATGATCAGCAGGAGATCTGTCCACTGATCCCCCGCTGATCAGAGCAGAGCAGGTGGATGAAAGGTTTGTGTCCATTCAGTTTATGTAGAGCGGACACTGATCCCCTTACGTTTTTTTTTTTAGCAGACCGGATTGGAGGTAGGCAGGTGTACACAGACACAAGTCCATTTACACCCGGTGGTCCATAGGGGTGAATGGTGAATGGAGGGTCCGATCAGTTCCACCTGAAAAACTGACAGGCTGACCTGATCACACCCTTCATGTGAAAGGGACCTAAGTTTAGTTACAAATGAAAAGACAAAAAATCAGCACAAAGGACATTACTTATACTCACAAGGATGTGTCTCTTGGGCTGTTGGCTCCTGCATTAGCTGAAATCTTCCTTCAATTCCTCCCTACCCGTCACAAACTCCCGATGCGGTGGGAGCTAATAGAGCTGACAGACCTGGGACAGGAGCATAGCCAGAACCCTTCCAAATAATATGACAGTTCCTTCAGCTCTGTAAACACCCATTAACAGCGGAAGATTGCGGCAGGGGTTAAAAAAGCAGATGAACCTGCGCCAGGGGCGTAGTCGGCACTCTTGATGACAGCATATGACAGCTCCTTTTCTTAATCCTGGCCGCATTGTAAGTTTATGGTGGCAGGTGTAGGTGAGAATTGGAGAAGAAAATTTTCAGCAAAAGCACGATCCAGCAGAACAAGGAACACATCCCATTGACTATAAATATAGTCCCTTGTGCTGATTTTCATATTTGAATTTATTGCAAAAGTTAGGATTTAACACAGATGCACAATAAAACCATGCATGCATCTATTTTTTTTTATATCTGTATGCTTTTTTACAGACATTAGTACTCACTTGCCCCTTGTAACCCCTCAAGCATCAAGTCTACCACTTGCGCTGGAACATCTTGTCCCTGATAGATCTCTGGGGTTAGTAGAAGAGTACGTGCATTTGAAACAGTCAGAGCCTTGCAACGCACAGCATATGGCAGCAGATTCTCTGGTACCTTAGTGACCTGTACAGACAAGTAAAAGATAGTAGCAAAGATGCAGGAAATAACACATTGGCCAGGTTATGTTTGGTAGGGAAGAAACCAACTCTTTTAGCATCAATTAGCATCTTATAGGCAGAGCATATACCAATGGTACTGTATCATCTTGGAAAGTATAAAAGGAAATACGTTACAAGGTGAAAGCATCATGCAAAAATGATGAGCAAGAAATAACTTCACTGAGCAGCTAAGTACAAGCAGGGAGAGTGCCCCCAAGGAAATGTAAATAAGTCTCTCCAAAAGGAAATAACTTCACTGGAGTGCTATGTAGCATTGCAAAAAGTGACTCCTTCACTTAAAAAAATAAAAATAAAACTGCAATCAGGTATAAAGTAAAGAATACGAAAGCAATAAAAGTGAGCGCTCTTATGGGTAAGCAGCTAGACACTCAAGGAAAGCAAATAAAGCCTTGTGGAAAACGCATAGAAAAACGTGCAGCGCTAATCAGTAAATTAAGGTACAAAATTATTCCAAATGACTAAAAAGACAATGAAGCAGTCATAAAATGATTCTAAAATAATATAAACAAATGTTCCGTATTGCAACCAAAAACGTATTGATAGTCTATATATAGTGTTCCCCTTTAAAATCCACAGTGATGTTCCAAGTAATGTAGAGAGATTGTGCACTCACCAGATGCACAATGTAAATGTGCATTAAGAAAAATCCACAGAAGGCTCCTTTAAGGATCTGGTCTGGGATGAGAGAAGATATCCTTCCTCTAGGTGGTTGGTCTAGTCAGGAACACATGTAGATAATCCTCCCTCTGAGTGGGTGGTAGTAACAGGAGCACACTGGGTGAGAAGAAGATCCAGCTGGCCAGAGGTCCCTTTAAGGGATAGGTGGGTTCAGGTGCCTGGATACAGGATCTCCCTTCTCTGGAATTTTTTGTGTTGCTGGATAAGGCAGGTGCTATGAATAAATAACTCCACCAGGGGGAGTATAGGAAATACTCATAGTGTAGTAGTTAATATATGTAACTTTTATTAAAGAGTAACCATAAAAACATAGGAAATTCACTCAAATTAATGCAGAGTATGGCAGCAGTGTGCAGCATATGAGAAAATGCAGAGTATGACAGCCGTGTGCATCGGACTAACCGTCCAGAAAGAAAGATGGCCGCCGGGCCTCCACGTGGCTCCGGCGGTGCAACGTCACGGCGTCTTGGCCCCCTCTGATGCGTTTCGTGCGCACGCACTTCTGCAAAGGCAGAGGCTGAATGGCGTCATGATCGTGAGGTCGGCTATTTATACGGAAAATGGTGCATGCGCAATGAATCGGCGCCATTTTGCCGTAGACCGACGCGCGATGAATATCCATGCATGACGCCATTTTATCAAAGGTAAAAAGTATCTCACTGAGATACATAGCCAAATGCTCATATATAAATGCAAATGATAACAAAATATACCCGAGAAAGGTAATGGTGGTGGCACATGTTATCATTATTAAAAGGGGGAAAAAAGAACAGAGGACTGCCACTATTAGTAATAATAAACGCAATACGTGGGCAGGACAACTAGGGGATTGAGGGATCGTCTCCGGGAGCACGTTAATAATATAAAGGATACAAAGAGCACTCCCTATCACTACATTATAGGCGACACCATAATCGTGATCCATCAACCCTAAGATTTTACGGGCATAGACTTAGTAACTTCTCATTGGAGAGGGACTTTCAAAACTAGAGCAGTCTCCCAATTTGAGATGAAGCTCATTTATGGACTTGGCACCTTACATCCAGCAGGACTCAATGTTGAGATTGATGTAAATTGCTTCATCAACAACAGTTGAGTGTCTTTTACCCATTCACCTTCCATCAATACACTTTCATTTTTTACTTACCAATTACCCTTCTCCCTTTTCCTCCTTAATTATATATTTATTTACTTTTATTTAATCTATTTTTATTCTTTTTTATTAGAACGATTTATCTTATACAATGGTTTGTACACATTCGTGATAGGCTGTCTTGTTGTTTATTACATTCGTTATACCTTCGTTTTTTATTTACGGCACCATTACCATTTATGATCTTCATGATATCCGTTTGCCTTTTACCATGGAGTTTTTTTTTGCCAAAAATTACTTTATCATATGCATCATTTTAACATTAATTTATTGATTTAACAATCAATTGATATTTTTATCACCATCAAATTAATTCTGTTATTATTTTATTAGTTGTAAATCGATATCTGTTTTTATGATGACTCATTTATAATATGCCGTTTTTTACTATTAATAGTGGCAGTCCTCTGTTCTTTTTCCCCCTTTTAATAACGATAACATGTGCCACCACCATTACCTTTCTCGGGTATATTTTGTTATCATTTGCGTTTATATATGAGCATTTGGCTATGTACGTCTCAGTGAGATACTTTTTACCTTTGATAAAATGGCGTCATGCATGGATATTCATCGCGCGTCGGTCTACGGCAAAATGGCGCCGATTCATTGCGCATGCGCCCATTTTCCGTATAAATAGCCGACCTCACGATCATGACGCCATTCAGCCTCTGCCTTTGCAGAAGTGCGTGCGCACGAAATGCATCAGGAGGGGCCAAGACGGTTAGTCCAATGCACACCGCTGTCATACTCTGCATTTTCTCATATGCTGCACACTGTTGCCATACTCTGCATTAATTTGAGTGAATTACCTATGTTTTTATGGTTACTCTTTAATAAAAGTTACAGATATTAACTACTACACTATGAGTATTTCCTATACTCCCCCTGGTGGAGTTATTTATTCATAGCACCTGCCTTATCCAGCAACACAAAAAATTCCAGAGAAGGGAGATCCTGTATCCAGGCACCTGAACCCACCTATCCCTTAAAAGGGACCTCTGGCCAGCTGGATCTTCTTCTCACCCAGTGTGCTCCTGTTACTACCACCCACTCAAAGGGTGGATTATCTACATGTGTTCCTGACCAGACCAACCACCTAGAGGGAGGATATCTTCCCCCATCCCATCCCAGACCAGACCCTTAAAGGAGCCTTCTGTGGATTTTTCTTAATGCACATTTACATTGTGCATCTGGTGAGTACACAATCTCTCTACATTACTTGGAACATCACTGCAGATTTTAAAGGGGAACACTATATATAGACTATCAATACGTTTTTGGTTGCAATACGGAACATTTGTTTATATTATTTTAGAATCATTATATGACTGCTTCATTGTCTTTTTAGTCATTTGGAATAATTTTGTACCTTAATTTACTGATTAGCGCTGCACGTTTTGCTATAGGTATAAAGTAAAGACACATAGCTTGTAACAGCTCATTTTCACTCCTATGTTTGAATTGCTGGCAAGTATGATCAGGCAAAAATCTGACACTTCCTAGCGGTAACAGAGCTTGTCAGCCACCTTTTCGCTTTGCACACATTATATTGATGGACCAGTTAGAATGTATGTGTTCTGTGAAAACGTGGGCAATCTCTGATACGAGTGGCAAGCAGGGAAGCTACCACTAGGCAAACTAGGAAGACACCTAGGGTGCAGCCACAGCCACTGGTTTCCCTACTCTCTGCCATGGCTGGAACTAGGGGTTGCTGTAATGGGCCACACCCCCCAGATTTCAGTTGTTTCCTCCCTAGGCAGGTCTTTCCATGGATGCTATGCCTGGCCACTGAGTACCTTCCTCCATCCCTGTACTCCTGGCTGGGACAAAGGGAGCATGGAGCAGTGAAACTTGCAAAGGAGAAATGACAGAAGAGAGCTGGAAGGCGGGGGGGGGGGGGGGGGGGTTGGGGTTCGTGCTCTCCTCTCCTGTCAGTGAAGTGATCCTCCATAAATCAGGTGGCTACTTGTGCTATGAGAAGGAATGGGGGGATATGTGCTAGGGATAGGACGGGGTTTGGGAGGGATTTGTGCTAAGGGGAGGGGTGGATTTGGGTAAGGTGGGAAGCTTCTATACTGGGAAGGGTAATTTTGAGGGGGTAATTTTAATTTTAGCTAGAGCAGGGATTTGGGGGAAATTGTCCTAGGTAGGGGAATTGAAGGAAGAGGATTGTTGCTAGGAGGAGAGATTGGGGGGGAGATTGTACTACGATGGGGGATTGGGGGGAACCTGCGCTAGGAGAGGAGGGTGGTGGGGGGATTTGTGCTAGGAGGGGGGATTATGCTAGGATGGGGGGATTCGGGTGGGGAGGAAGGATATGTGCTCTGAAGTGTAATTTGGAGGGGGTTGTGCTAAGAGGAGGGATTTAGGGGGATTTGTGGAAGGATGCGGAATTGGTGGGGAATTATGCTAAGAGGAGGGATTTGGGGGGGAGGATTTGTGCTAGGATGGAAAATTTGAAGGGAAAGATGATGAGTGTTACGAGGGGTGAAGTAGAACTACAGGTGAAGTTTTATTTTTGTTGGGGGGGTGGGGGGTGCAAGTACCTGGTTTAGTCTAGCACTGGCCCTGCTAGCAAGTAACAGAGTTTTACCTACTCAGAATGCCGTTCCAGCATAGAGGGAGCAATGAAAGCTTCTGCATCTAGGAGTCTTCACTTTCTACCTGCTAGCAGCCTTAGATGTTCTTTAAGCGACAGTCACTTTATAGGCAATCTGTCAGAACAAAAATGTAAGGGCTGCCGATGTTGACTTATTTTGGAAGATGCAATCCTTATCCTTGCTTCAGTATTATGTCACAGTCTCAGAACATGTAAATTCATATTCACACACCAATAGTGTGCAGGCATGTTCCAGATGATCAGAGACTCTCCAAGTAATAAAGGAAGGATACAAATGGCAGCTCTGCAGCCTGGAAAACAAGTAATAAGTGACAGCTCTCCAATTTGTATTCTATTGGGTTTCTTATAAAGCCTTCCTACCCATACATAGTACTACAGTGAAGTCAATTCTGTGGTGTGTGGCATGCTGACCAGAATTACTAGTCATATACTAATAAGGCAAAGTAGGCCAAACAGAACTGGCCACAGTTGGATGTCATGAGTTAGCAGAGCATGTGCAATGCTTTAAACACACATGTTTAAGGGTGAGTTACTGACAGGCTTGCCATGTAAAAAATGGCATTTACCCATTAGTCCTTTCTCCTTTTGGAGAGACTTAAAGATTGATGAATAAATCCTTATGGCTTGGCTAAATGTTCACCTCCTTCTTGGCTCTCAGGAAACAGGAAAACAGGAAGGGAAGGATGTGTTTTTCTCCAGCATCTCTCTCTGCAGACAGGTTTGGTGCTCCAGAAGATGTCATACAAATCATATATTTTCCAGGCTCAGGCAAAAGAAGGCGAGTAAACAGAGCCTACAATAAATGCAACAAATGGTAACATATCTGGAAAAATAACACAAACACAAAAATACTCTCACAGATCAGCTTAGCCTCAGTTCGTACGTGTGTATATGTGGAGGGCCTCAAAAAATTATTTTTGGGAGGGGGGGATGTTATGTGCTTTGGTGTAACTTTATTTTTTTTGGAAAAAAACATTTTTACTTAACTTTTTTTTTTTTCATCAAATAGGGGACACAACGTCCCTTATGTGAAGATTAATTGCTGACAGGTTCTCTTTAATGAGACATGTAGGGTCCAAAAGACCCTACATGTCTCCTTTGCGCTCCACTGGATGTATTGCAATGCAGATTGCATTGCAATACATCGCTCCCTGGCTATTCTACCTGGGGAAAGTGACAGCAGTGATCGGGAATTGAATTCATACACGTTGCATTCCAGGTCACAGCAAGAAAGGAAGGAAAGTAGACACACATCTCTCCCCTCCACCTGCCAGCACCCACCATATTCGCTCTGCACATGATACATCAGGCGTTCACAAGTTCTTGACTCGTGAATCCATTCCGAAATTTGACCACCTTATTTCCCCCCCCCCCCCCGAAATGCCTGAAAAAGAGACGCAGATTTGATGACACTCCATACATCCGGTGCGTTGGGACAAAGATACTACGCAGCATTCCAGAAAATGAATTCTAGCAATGTTTCCAGCAGTGGCACAGACGCCTGTAAAAGTGTGTCACTTCATAAAGGGAATATTTTGAAGGTGACAACAGCCGCTAGTATATTGGTAGGCAAACATTTTTTTTTTACAGTCTATTCCGGGAAATACATTGTCACACCTCGTCCATTTATACTAACGTATCTGAAATAAAGAATTCTCCACAGTGCTGTACCTGTTCAACATTGTCCATGTCCAACCAATCCTGCCCATCCAGTTCAGAACCCAACTCTTCCAGGTACACACAGCGCAGAGGGATTCCATTACCACCTTTCATACTGGGATCACCTAGAAAAGAGATTATGTGAACCCACCATATATATATATATATATATATATATATATATATATATATATATATATATATATATGTATACAAAGTTTACCCAATGCAACAAAACAGGCTGCACAAAGCCAGGTCACCATAATAAATGGGAAGAGTCCCCTTACGGACCAAAACATCCTGACCTGAATTTGTCTACTAATACCCTTTGTCAGCCAGGGAAGTCAATACACTGCTGGAAAAGAGGACCAGGCTTTCTGTGCATGATGGAACAGAAGGAGCTTCTGTCCTGATTTCCAGCAGTGTGCAGAGTGTGCCAATTTCCCCATCTGATCACTAATAGGTCAGCTTGGGGGCACTTTTAAAAAGAAGCATATAATGGTCTTGCATATACACTCGCCAGTTAAATTGTTTAGTAACACAAATTGCTAATCTGCCAGTCACATGGCAACAACCCAATACGCAGTAAACAGGGCTTGCTGAAGTTCAAACTGAACATCAGAATATGGAAGAAAATGGATTTAAGTGACTTTGAACATGGCATGGTCGTTGGTGCCAGATAGACTGGTCTGAGCATTTCAAAAACTGCTGATCTACTGGGATTTTCATGCACAACCATCTCTAGAGTTTACAGAGAATGGTCCGAAAAAAGAAAATATCCATTGAGCGGCAGTTGTGTGGTCGAAAATGCCTTGATGATGTCAGAGGAGAATGGGCAGACTGGTTTGAGATGATAGAAAGGCAATAGTAACTCAAAAAACCACACGTTACAACCAAGGTATGAAGAATACCATCTCTGAATGCACAACACATCGAACCTTGAAGAAGATGGGCTACAGCAGCAGAACACCACACCGGGTGCCATTCCTTTCAGCTAAGAACAAGAAACAACCCAACTGAGCACCTTTGGAATGTGGTGGAAGGGAAGATTTGCATCATAGACATGCAGCCAGCAAATCTGCAGCAACTGCGTGATGCTAGCTTGTCAATATGGACCAAAATATCTGAGGAATGTTTCCAACACCTTGTTAAATCTATGCCACAAGCAATCAAAGAGGAGCTCCAGTAAAAATTAAAAAAAATAAAAGTCAGCAGCTACAAAAACTGTAGCTGCTGACTTTTAAAAAACAGACACTCACCTGTCCGTTGATCCCGTGGTATCCTCCTCACACTGGCCGGGTTCACTGGCCGTCCTGTGTTCCTGACATTTTCAGTGCTCAGTGGGCTCCCAGCTTTGGAACTGCAAACTGTCACTGCCTGGTGACCACTGAGCATGCGTGAGTAGCGCTGACTTTGTGAATGGTTCCATAGTCTTCGGGGACCTAGGAGACTAAGGGGAGGGAGGACAACTTCCGCATTCAATGGCCTAGGTGATCGCAGCAGAAGTGGGCATGGGTACCTGTCAAATTCGGGTATCCGAATCAGCCTTATAAATATATTCAGAGACAACACATATATTGACAACGTTAACCTTTTACTTTTGTCCTTTCATTACCTGTACTTTGAGAGCTGTTATTACAGACCCAGGTCAGTGTATACATTGCACTGTCTACACTGCACAACATAAAGAGCAACATCAGTGATTGCCAGGATCCATCAACTGACTGGGGGAAGGGGGGCTGGCTTAACCAATCATAAAGTAGTACTAAAGTCTAAATAGTTTTTACCTAAATGAATTCTCTGCATTAAGGTAAAAAATGCCCCACTACCTCTCCCCCCCCCCCCCGTTAAACACTTACCTAACTCCATGCCACCTGTACAGCGCTGTCTATAGTTCCATCTTCACTCCCTGATTTAACAGGGGAAGACCCTGAATCAAGCATGTAAGTATGGCAGATGACTTAATGTTCTCTCTCATGGTCTATAGCCATGCTGCTTTAGCAAATCTGATCTAATGTTTGATGTACAAAAAGTAGTTGCTGCACGAGGCGGAGAATGCAGCTGCGCTGCTGGAGGAGGCATGTCTGGACTCCAAGGCCCTGTACCAATTACGACTGCGCACCCTCATAATGTTATAATTTCTATGCATGCAAAGTTTTCAACGTGGCAACAAATCCATCATATCCTCTGCCCCTGTGCCAAACCACAGTCACTGTTACCCCATTATGGTGAAACAATTTAATTTATTTACACTATTTGGAAAATCATGACCCAATTTGGACAAGTTAGGGTGTTCGGCCTTTTGGGGGACATATCACATTCCAACATACTCCTTACATTTGATGAGCTGAAAGACCTTCCTAATTCATATATATATATATATATATATATATATACACACATAGAGAGAGAGAGAGAGAGAGGAGGGCATATTTCTACACCTGGTGTCTGCCAGGGATCATCATATCAAATACAAGTTATGATAGAGAATGTACTCTACTCCAGAGGGTGCCTTCCAAATCTTGGAGATGTACTCATTCCCCTGCTGATTCTATGCATATAATTTGGAACAGTCTTGTGATCCAGGAATACTGGTCAGGGGTTACTCGGTTTCTTAAAAAGGTTTTTATGGTAAACGTACCACTCCACATCTCTGTGTGCCTCCTGGGACTGGTAGAGAGTTCGGCTCCAAAGAATAGTACACAAACTCTGCTCAATATTCAATTCATGGCTTGAAAGGCTATTATACTCCATTGAAAAAGTTAAGGCACCATCACTGGCATTTTGCAAGATTTTTGGTTAATTCACCACTTCCACTCTATAAAGCCACATATGGGAATTGTGTCTGTCCTGTGAAGTTTAAAAAAAATTTGAAAACTGCTGGATCACTAAAGAGCAATCTAATGTCTAAGTTTGTTTTTCTTCTGTTTGGTCTATGAGGGTTGCACATACCCTCTGTTCCCAGAGCATGCAACAGTCTCCATTGTGCTCAGGGAGGTGCGGGCGGGTGTATAGTTGCCTACCGAGGCTGCCATGTTAGAGTTATGTATTAACTCTGGCCTTGGGGTGACTGAGACAGGCCATGACGGATACACCTATGTGTACTGTGTTTCATTATGGTTGACTGAGCTTCTTGTAACTGTATCTTGCCTGTGGAGGAGGGGTGGGGAGAATGGGATGGTAGTTGTAGTTTGCGCTGTTATTTTTCACTGTTTGATTGTTATTTTGTACCTGTATTTTTATCCCTGGTAAAAAAATTCCATAAAAAAAAAACTGATAAAAAAAATACAAAGTGTTCTGTGAAAGGTGGCCATGTTGAGCAAGTGACCCACTGTGTTCTCTATGCAGAAGGCAGCACAAGCCCCATAAAGCGCAGCAATCACTGTAGTAGTGGTGACTACTATAATCCTTCTCTGCTTCCACAGTGGTCCCACAGGTGTGGAATATGCATACTTACACTGGTCCAAGCTGGACAAATGTAACTATGCAATAAAAACCATATCTGAAGTTCAGCTTTAAAATATTTTTTATGTATTTATTACAGGTATTACAGAGCACACTTTATGTTTTGTACACTGGCATCAGTCTCTGTTTATAAGAAGCATACAACCTAAGTGTAACAATTGGGAGCAATAGAGACATGGAAGCTGTACGCGACAGCCATCTTATTAAGGTCTCAGCATTTTGGTTTCATGAGCAGTGTTCCTAGTCTTCCCCCTACCCCTTTGCAAATGATGGTATTTGAAGCTGTAACTTTTAACGAACTTCAAAAGAGCCTCTTATCTTAATTAAAACACAAATAGATGCCAGTGTCCAGGGCTGTAAACAGCTGGATGTCTGTTTCCAGGAATCCATGAAAAACACTTTCTTCTGCCCTATTGTAAAACAATAATAAGCAGTGGCGTATTTAGGTTTTTTGCTGCCCTAGGCAACACAAAAAGCAAATGCCCCCCCCCCCGAAGAGAGAGAAACCTGACACCGACCAACACCAGTGGCTGACAACACCCGTGCCCCACCCCAGAGAGCCTTCCACTAACACAAACAAAGAGAAAGACACTCACCTTCACAGCTCTGGACATCCCCAGGAACAAGAGTTGGGCTCTGCATACACCATCAAGCAGTCCGCAGCCTCTTTCAGATCCCACCTGGTCCCCATGTCGCATATGTCCCTTCTTCCTGGCGGGAGTGCTGCCCCACTGAAAAAATACCGCCCTAGGCAAATGCCTTGTTTGCCTTGTGGTAAATACGCCCCTGCCTGTAAGGCCATTAGAGCTCTAGGAATGCAGAGCATGCCATAAAACTTCTATTCCACATGGAACAATTCCACATGCAATTCATAGAATTTAACAGGAACAGGGCACATTAATATTAGGTATATATTTGAATAGGGAACATCATACCGAACAAATCAAAGTTGTACATGACTATGTTAGCACATAGGAAAGGGGAGAAAGCAGTCTCTTCCCTCCATGGTGACAAAAGGTACGCTGTGTGTGGTAACCCTGGGTTCGAAATATAATTCTTAATATTAATCTGCCAGTTGCTAGAATACCAACTGCACATATTGGAAGTTGTAATATTAGAATGAAACTGTAGTTGGGACTTGGTCATAAATTTGGTGACCTCCTAGCACCCATCCCTTAAACCGGATTATTGGTCAGTTGGTCTCTGTCCACACCTTGATATCATAGAAGAAAGGATGACAGGGCTTGTTAAGATTGAGCTCTCATTTAATATCAACCAAGAAACATCTTAACGGACTTGAGAGCCAAGGCAACATTTTTGCTTGGACAATTGGACTCTGCTAAAACCAGGACATTGCAAGTATTCTGCCTTCTTAACTACTTTCTTTTATTTTTCTGTGGCTTTATTGTTCTCTTTATGTCTAACATCCCTTTCTGTAAATATTTTAATTGTGCCATTTTGACCTTTTGAGTAACAAACCCTATTTTGAAAAGTGTTGAAATGGTCTCTAAATCCTTTAATGCAAACTAAAGAATCCCTGTCTCTTGAAGAGTGCTACTGATAATAATCCTCTGAATATGCTTGTCTGCGTTAAGTGTGTGTGTTACAGACGTTTATCGTTCACATTTGTTCTTGCTAACATTGTGAAGGGTTGATAGGCCCAAAGCTATCTCGTGGCAGTTTGGTGTTTGTAGGGTTAATTGTGTAAATAACTAACCCAATGACAATCGCTCTCAGGCTGCTGGCAAGCTGGAAAATCTTTGTGCAGGGTGCAGCAGAGAGTGACATTGTTACGCAAGTGACAGCGCGGTGTGAGATTGGCTGGTCCTTTGTCACGAGTTGGTGAGAAGGGCAGGGGACAGGCACCGCGTTCGTCACACTAAGGTCCCTTATATTACATTAATATATACACATACTAGGGACAACTTAAACACATGCAAACTCAATGCAGGTAGTGTCCTGGTTGGGAATTGAACCAAGGATCCTGGTGCTGCAAGGTATAAGAGCTAACCATTAGGCCACGGTGCTGCATCAAAACAAGTTGAGGCTGTTACTGGCTAAACTATATATATATATATATATATATATATATATATATATTATTATTATTATTATACAGTATTTATAAAGCGCCAATAGTTCGCTCAGCGCTGTACATTACAAAAGGGAGACAGAACATGTGACAGAACAATACCAATACAATGCAAGACATGAGGGGATCAAGGGCCCTGCTCTTTCGAGCTTACAATCTAGGAGGGAAGGGGTGGTGGCACAGGAGGAGATAGCTGTGGGGGATGGAGTGGTAGGAAGAGTGGAGGAGGTTGGCAAGTTAGCAGGGGGTGGGGTAGGCTTCCCTGAAGAGATGGGTTTTCAGGGTGCGCCTAAAGGAGAGGAGAGTAGGTGATAATCTGATGGGTTGGCTGAGAAGTTGTCCACATGTCATATGGACAGGCTTACACTTGGGTGTCTATTAATAAATGTTTTCACACAAATACCACCCAGGATTCACATATTTTTCAGTAGACACTCTTGCAAAATGTGTGAATCTCAGGTAAAAGCTGTGTAAATCTTGTGTGAAAACATTTCTAAATAGACCACTTACTACTGACAATCTCATACTCACTGTTATCCAATGTAATAAGAAAGATTCTCTGAATCATATGGTTGATGTTCAGCTGTTCACATATCTCTTGCTGAGATCGAAACGATCGGCTTATTTCTGCCACCGAATCATCACAGTCATCCAGGCTCTCTGAAACACTATTGTCAGAATCATCGAGACTCTCGCCTGCATCCTCTATAAAAGTAGAACAGATTCTTGGTTACTATAAAATACTACTAGAACAGCTTGGCTCAATTATAGTAATGAATATGGGAAAGGAAAAAAAAAAGTCAGTTTTCGTAAATATATAATGGAAAATTGAGACTGTCCTGAATGCAACATTCATATATTTTCTTACGAGAACATTACTGTTGTAATAAATGATTTGATGACAGGGTTCCTCTAAGAGCCTGTTCAAGCTCCACTTAGATCAAGCTGCATTCAGGGCAGCTTCAAGCATTCCCCCCATTATTAGAAATATTCATGCACCTTATAAACCACAGTCCATCATTGAGAACATAAGCCTAGCCCATGGCAGATGTGTGTGAATCACAAGACTGGCTGTACATAAATGCGTATACTTTTGCCAGGTAAACATGAAACATATACTGCATGTGTTTCAATTGTGTATTAAGCCATTTGTGTGGAGTTCCAAGTTAGTGTATGTCACATTATTGTACAATAAAGGTAATTTTAAATGCACAATATTAAAAATTCCGTAATACACTTGTGAGATGTAATATACAAATTGCACTCACACATGACTTGTAGCTTTGGGTCCTTTCACATGAGCCATCCATTCAATCCATTCAGCAGGGGATAGGTGATCAGAGCAGAATGGGAAGGGTATCATTTTTGTTTTGTTTTTTTTCTGCATTTTGACCTTTAAGGATCCATGTTTTATCCATATGGCAGCAGGATGCAGGCTACCTCTAACCCATTAAGTTTTGGTCTGAAAATAATCAAAAGCACACACTGCATTTCCTTTTTTTGGAGCTGGGCAGACTTGGAATGAAACAGATGTAAACGAACCCATGTCCATTTACATCTGCCTGCCCAAAGGCTTAAATGAAGCTTCCGTCCATCTGAAAAACTGACAGGTGGACCTCATTAAAAAGCTCATGTGAAAGAAACATTTTTGTTTTTACCAATGTTTTAGACCTCCTTTACATAGGCATATACCCTCATACATCAGATTCCAGCGCCAAGGATCAGTGGATTCTTGCAGCTGGAATGACAGGTGCATGCAAATAGCCTGTATAAAGTAAGGACACGCTGACTACAGCCATCACTATTCACATGTAGCCACACACAATGGGGTTACCTGTGGTTAGGGATGGATGTACGAGCCTGAATGTATCTGACTGACATTCATCCCTAACCGCAAGTATACCATTTGGTGTTTATACAAGCTAAATGGGCGCCAATATTTGCATGCACCTATCATTCCAGTTGCAAGAATCTTTTGATACATGCTGCAAGAATCTGGTGTATGGTGGTAATCACCCATGTGAAGGAAGACTTAGGGTCCTTTCACACTGATCTGTTTTTAGGGTAAAAAAATAAAAGGGAAGAAACACGCATAAAAAATGTATCCCTTTAAATGCAATAAAACGATTCACACCAGTACATTGCAGGTGCAGTGCATTTTTAAAGTCCTGCATGCTGCATCTTTGGTGAGCTTTTCAAAAGCATACCAAAACACATCTCCATTGATCTCTATAGAAAACCCACCAAAAATGCATAAAAAAATGCACCTGCCCAAGTTTCACAGATGCATGATTGGGGTCAGGAGTCCAGAAAACACGGCAAAAATGCATATGCATTGTTAGCACGTTTTTAATAGAGCAGTGTGAAAGCAGCCTTTTTTTTTTACTTATTTTTATTACAGAAGTCTGACGTTCTGAGCATGTGTGACATTATGGGGTTTATTTACTAAAGCTGGAGAGTCCAAAATCAGACTCCCTTCTGCATAGAAACCAATCAGCTTCCAGGTTTCATTGCCAAAGCTTCATTGAACAAGCTGAGGTTAGAAGCTGATTGGTTTCTATGCAGAAGGGAGTCTGATTTTGGACTCTCCAGCTTTAGTAAATAAACCCCTATGTGACAGGATTTAGTATTGTTCATAACCATTTTACTTTATTTTTGACAACATAATCACCTGTTTGCTCTCTGAGCTGCTGCTTTTGTCCAGCAGCAAACTGACGAGCTTCCGCAAGAGACCCAAACAATGCAGCAAAAGGATTTGCCGAGATGCTGTTGTTGTTCTGTTGATCCGTCATCTTATTTGACGGCAAGTTCCATGTAGTGCCCAATCAATAAAAGCCTGTAAAATATCTACAGTCAGATTTGCATCTTTAAACAGTTTAGATATAAACGTTTATTAAATATAACTTGAAAGCAATACTATGATTATAGTCAGTTTTCTTTATATACAGAATGTAAACGTGAATGTTACTGTACTGATTGAAAGGTACAGGATTCGTCATTTGTAATCCTTGAAAAGAACCACAAGAGCAGGGGTACCCAAAATTTTTAAACAGGGGGCCAGTTCACTGTCCCTCAGACTGTTGGAGGGCCGGATTATAGTTTTAAAAAAAAAAAAAAAAAATGAACAAATGCGGACACAGTACAGGAGATGACCAGAGACTGCGAACATACAACGGCGGCGGGAATACCGCTCCATAATACGCACAGACATTTCCCCAAGTGTGTCTTATGCAGCGAAGTAGTGCCCCATCATTGGTGTCAGTGGGAGGAATAGTGCCCCATCATTGGTGTCAGTGGGAGGAATAGTGTCCCATCATTGGTGTCAGTGGGAGGAATAGTGCCCCATCATTGGTGTCAGTGGGAGGAATAGTGCCCCATCATTGGTGTCAGTGGGAGGAATAGTGCCCCATCATTGGTGTCAGTGGGAGGAATAGTGTCCCATCATTGGTGTCAGTGGGAGGAATAGTGCCTCATCATTGGTGTCAGTGGGAGGAATAGTGCCCCATCATTGGTGTCAGTGGGAGGAATAGTGCCTCATCATTGGTGTCAGTGGGAGGAATAGTGCCCCATCATTGGTGTCAGTGGGAGGAATAGTGCCCCATCATTGGTGTCAGTGGGAGGAATAGTGTCCCATCATTGGTGTCAGTGGGAGGAATAGTGCCCCATTGTTGGAATAGTGCCCCATCATTGGTATCAGTGGGAGGAATAGTGCCCCATTATTAGTGTCAGTGGGAGGAAAAGTGCCCCATCATTGGTGTCAGTAGGAAGAATCATGCCCCATCATTGGTGTCAGTGGGGAGGAATAGTGCCCCATCATTAGTGTCATTGGGGGGAGGAATAATGCCCCATCATTGGTGTCAGTGGGGGGAGGAATAGTGCCCCATCGTTGCTGACAGTGTGGGGGGAGGGGGAATAGTGCCCCGTCATTGGTGTCAGTGGGGGAAGGGGATAGTGTCCCAAAATTGGTGTCAGTGGGAGGAATAGTGTCCCATCACTGGTGTCAGTGGGAAGAATAGTGCCCCATCTTTGGTGTCAGTGGAAGGAATAGTACGTCATTGGTTTCAGTGGGGGGGAATAGTGCCCCATCATTGGTGTCAGTGGGAGGAATAGTACGTCATTGGTGTCTGTGGGGGGGAGTAGTGCCCCATCATTGGTGTCAGTGGGGGGAATAGTGCCCAATCATTGGTGTCAGTGGGAGGAATAGTGCCGCATCATTGGTGTCAGTGGGAGGGAATAGTGCCCCATCACTGGTGTCAGTGGGAGGAATAGTGCCCCATCTTTGGTGTCAGTGGGAGGAATAGCACGTCATTGTGTCAATGGAGGGGAATAGTGCCCCGTCATTGTGTTATTGGGGGGGATAGTGTCCCAACATTGGTGTCAGTGGGAGGAATAGTTTTCCATCGTTGGTGCCAGTGGGGGGATAGTGTCCCATCGTTGGTGTCAGTGGGGGGTGGAATAGTGCCCCATCCATCGTTGGTGTCAGTGGGGGGTGGAATAGTGCCCCATCCATCGTTGGTGTCAGTGGGGGGAGGAATAGTGCCCCATCGTTGGTGTCAGTGGGGGGAGGAATAGTGCCCCATCGTTGGTGTCGTGGGGGGAGGAATAGTGCCCCATCGTGGTGTCAGTGGGGGGAGGAATAGTGCCCCATCGTTGGTGTCAGTGGGGGGAGGAATAGTGCCCCATCGTTGGTGTCAGTGGGGGGAGGAATAGTGCCCCATCGTTGGTGTCAGTGGGGGGATCGGAATAGTGCCCCATCGTTGGTGTCAGTGGGGGGAGGAATAGTGCCCCATCGTTGGTGTCAGTGGGGGGAGGAATAGTGCCCCATCGTTGGTGTCAGTGGGGGGAGGAATAGTGCCCCATCGTTGGTGTCAGTGGGGGGAGGAATAGTGCCCCATCGTTGGTGTCAGTGGGGGGAGGAATAGTGCCCCATCGTTGGTGTCAGTGGGGGAGGAATAGTGCCCCATCGTTGGTGTCAGTGGGGGGAGGAATAGTGCCCCATCGTTGGTGTCAGTGGGGGGAGGAATAGTGCCCCATCGTTGGTGTCAGTGGGGGGAGGAATAGTGCCCCATCGTTGGTGTCAGTGGGGGGAGGAATAGTGCCCCATCGTTGGTCAGTGGGGGGAGGAATCAGCCCCATCGTTGGTGTCAGTGGGGGGAGGAATAGTGCCCCATCGTTGGTGTCAGTGGGGGGAGGAATAGTGCCCCATCGTTGGTGTCAGTGGGGGGAGGAATAGTGCCCCATCGTTGGTGTCATCGTGGGGGGAGGAATGGGGGGAGGAATAGTGCCCCATCGTTGGTGTCAGTGGGGGGAGGAATAGTGCCCCATCGTTGGTGTCAGTGGGGGGAGGAAATAGTGCCCCATCGTTGGTGTCAGTGGGGGGAGGAATAGTGCCCCATCGTTGGTGTCAGTGGGGGGAGGAATAGTGCCCCATCGTTGGTGTCAGTGGGGGGAGGAATAGTGCCCCATCGTTGGTGTCAGTGGGGGAGGAATAGTGCCCCATCGTTGGTGTCAGTGGGGGGAGGAATAGTGCCCCGTCGTTGGTGTCAGTGGGGGAGGAATAGTGCCCCATCGTTGGTGTCAGTGGGGGGAGGAATAGTGCCCCGTCATTGGTGTCAGTGGGGGAAGAATAGTGCCCTATCTTTGGTGTCAGTGGGAGGAATAGTACGTCATTGTGTCAATGGAAGGGAATAGTGCCCCGTCATTAGTGTCATTGGGGGGGGGAAGTGTCCCAACATTGGTGTCAGTGGGAGGAATAGTGTTCCATCATTGGTGTCAGTGGGGGGATAGTGTCCCATCGTTGGTGTCAGTGGGGGTGAGGAGGCGGAGCCGAGCGGCAGGAGTGAGGGAGTGGCTGGAGTGAATGAAGGAGCAGCGCTTCCTGGACTGGATTGTCGTGGGACTGGGACCGGAGCCAGGTAAGGTACAGCAGCCCCCTGCCCGCCCCTGTACTTAGTGTCCCTTCCTGTCCCGCCCCCTGCCGGCGGGCCGGATAAATGGCCTCAGCGGGCCACATGTGGCCCACGGGCCGTAGTTTGAGGACCCCTGCACTAGAGCCTGAATAAGCTGGGGCCACGTCTAGCAAAGGTTACTGAGGGAGAAAAAAAAAGAGGCCAACTATTATATAAAATGTAGCTTTTGCTGAATGGATGAGTGCAAAAAAAAAAAAAAAAAAGGTGCATGAGCAAAAATATCAGGAGCAAATCTATTTGAATTTTAATGCATAAAAATACAAAGAAATAACATTGTGGGAGTAATATAATGCAGAAACATTGGTTGTAGGTGGTTCTAAAGCCTAACCTTTACCTTAAAGTAAAAAATAAAGTAAAGGATGGAGGGGAGAATTCAATCTCTAAGGCTCCTTTCACAACCATCAGGTCTGCCTGTCAGTTTTTCAGGAAGAACTAATTGGAAGCTCCATGTTAGTCTATGGGCAGGAAGATGTAAAGAAACGTGTCAGTTTACATCCAGCTGCCCACAGATTTAATATGGGTCCAGAAAGTTTTGGTTTTAAAGGTCAAGTTCACCTTTGAGGAAAGGAAAAAAAATGTGCGTGTAATTTATCTGCAGAAGCCTGGAAAACATTGCACCCTCGATCAGTAGATCATGGGTGCAAAATGAATGGGCCCCTGTAGACATGTCATGGCTTTCTGTGCTCATCAGCAACCCCTCCCCCACGCAGCCCAATAAAAATAAGTCTGTCTGCCGCAGTGGCAGATGGTACTTGAAGTTTATTCATTCACAGGAATGATGCAGCTGTGTGGGCGGAACCCCACATAGCCACGCTGTTTTTAAAAAGTGATAGCCATTGCAGGGAAAGGAACCTCCCCCATGCTGTCACAAAGAGGGGGGGATTGGGGGGAGAGGAGGTGGGAACTGGAACATATTACATAATCCAAGCTAAATACAGGTAGAGCATGTAACATGTTCCAAAGGTGAACTGATCCTTTAAATGGAGCTAAATTCTGAATGGACACAGATGTCACAAAAGTGTCAACAATTATTTAAAGCTCTAATTCAGTAGGGAATCTGTTCATGGTCCTAAAAAAAAAGAAAAAAAAAAAAAAGCTGTTTAAAAGTTTTCAAATAAAAAGATTGTCTTTGGATATATTCTTTCATCTTTGTAGGCTCTTCACTTCCGTGAAATAGATATAATAATAATAAAAAAATAAACACCTAAACCCGAACAAAAAAATACATTATTAACCAACCGCCCTATAGCAGAATACTGCTAAAGGGCGGCACTGGTGCGCAAAATCACATATATATATATGTGATTTAGCATTTCCAGGTAGGGGGAGCGCAAGCCGCGTGCGCACCCAACCTGCTCCGCCATTCGTGGCCGTAGCTGTCAATCACCGGACTTCAACCAGTGATTACTTGCCAGCGCCTGGTGATTTCCGAGGATCTCCGACGGGGAGGAGAACTGTTTTGTTTACTAACAGTTCTTCTCCCTGTCAACTCGGGCACAATGGTTTGGATGGCTGTGAACAGCACAGCCATCCAAAGCAGTGTGATTAAAATGAAGCACACTGACATGGCCCCCTAGTAAAACACACCCAGCACACAGTTATCCCTTTGCTCGTCCTTCATGTTAACCTCTTTCTGCCCAGTGCCATTAGTACAGTATCAGGGTTTGTTTTTTTTTAGCACTGATCACTGTATTGGTGTCACTGGGGGTGTCAGTGACACCAAGTCAGTTCCCCCCAGTGTAAGAATGTCCACGGCAGTCCTGCTATAAGCAGCCATTACTAGTATAAATAAAAAATAAAAAAAAAAAACTCAGTATATATACCGCCATTTGTAAACGCTATAACTTTCATGTAAACCAATTCATTTACACATATTGGGATTTATTTTAGCAAAGACATGTAGTAGAATACATTTTGGACTAAATGTATGACGAAATTTGATGTTTTAAAATTTTTTACTGGACAAGTTTAATAGCAAAAAGTAAAAAATATTGTTTTTTTCTCAAAATTGTTGGTCTTTTTGTTTTATAGCACAAAAAAAATGCACAGGCAATCAAATACCACTGAAAGAAAGCTCAATTTGTGGAAAAAAAAGGATGTAAATTTCATTTGGGTGCAGTGTTGCATGACCGCGCAATTGTCAGTTAAAGTAATGCAACACCGTAACGCAAAAAATGGACTGGTCAGAAAGGGGGGTAAATCCTCAGCAGGGCAAGTGGTTAATAATAATAATAAATGAATAAATAAATGTAAAATAAGGACACAAATAAATAAAAAAAAATCATAAAATAAATACTTGTAATAATAAATAATAATTGACCCATAACCTTAACCTCCTAAAACCAAAAAAAGTAATAAAATAATAACAATATACTTTTTTTTTATTATAATTTTTTTCCTGGTGATTATTATTATTAATAATTATAAATGTATTTTTTTTTAAGGTTAGGGGTTAGTTATTATTTATCATGAATTTTTATTTATATGTGTATTTATTTTATTTATTTTGCATCTATTTATTCATATAATATTACAATTTTTTTTTAAATTTTTTCATTTAAGCAGAAAATCGTACAAAAGCGCACCAATCGCGCAATTATATTCTTTTCTATGGGAATAAAAACATGCCAAATCTGCCCAATTTGAGCTACAAAAGTGGCTCCAAAACTTTTTTGAGCTTCAAGTGTTCTGCTTCAGGCGACCTGGAGTGGACATGTGAACCATCTCCATAGAGTAATATTGATTTTTTTTTTTCCCCTGAGCGTTTTGGAGTTTCGAACTACGCACTACAAAATGTTCAAGTGTAAATGGGGCCTTGCAGTGTTTTAGGCCTCATGCACATTGGGAAGGAGAAAATGTCAAAGATATGCCTAAAGCTGCATTTTGTAAACGTGCATCAAGAGCTTGGGGTTTAATTACTTTCATTGGCCAGAATAATAATTTATTTTGACCACTGGAATTACATTAACGCTCAAGCACTAAATGTGCCTAGTGTTAACGCACATCTAGATTCATTTATACATATTTAGATGCGTCAAGCGCTTTTTCTTTTCTGCTCCTGAACATAGTGTCAGTGGTTTTTTTGTTTTCCTGCCTATAAATGCCTATGTGTGCATGGACACACATGCTAACATTGAGGGGCATTTCGAGGCAAAAAAAATTGTCAAACACTCCTCCAAGTGGCATTTTTAATGCCCAGTGTACATGAGGCCTTAAAGATCAAAGGTGGAGTTTTTCTGAAATATGAAACTGCTGCTGTATATTATATAATGTCTGTAAAGCATTCATAGTTACATATAGTTACAAAGTCTGGCTGAAAAAAGACAAAAGTCCATCCAGTTCAACAAATAAAAAAAAAAAAGTTATAATCCTATACCCACAGTTGATCCAGAGGAAGGCAAAAAAAATCTGTGTATCTAGGAAAGAATCCAGGCCTTTTTTAAAGCAATCCACTGAGCTGGCCAGAACCAACACTTGAAGGAGTCTATTCCACATTTTCACAGCTCTTACTGTGCAGAAACCTTTCCCTGTTTGGAGATTACATTTCTTTTCCTCCAGACGTAAAGAGTGCCCCCTTGTCCTCTGTGATGACCTCAGGGTGAATAGCTCTACACCGAGTTCACTATATGAACCACTGATGTATTTATACAAGTTGATCATATCCCCCCTTAATCTCCTCTTCTCAAGAGAGAATAAATTCAGTTCCTCTAATCTTTCCTCATAGCTGAGCTCCTCCATGCCTCTTATCAGTT